AAGTCGGTTGTCAGAAATTTTACTTGTGGGTGGACAGTAGGGCATTGTCCCACTTTGCCCCTTGTAGCTACGGGCCTGATAGGTAGCATCAATCAGTGCATTAGATTTCAGAAATCACCTGTAATGATGTAGAGATAATGGTAATGATACTGTAATTATTTGGTTGAGAAGTCTTCAGTCTATTGTCTAAATAGACATTGTAGCGTGTCACTGATTGTCATCTGTTTGTTTTAGCCTCACGAATCCGGTTTCTAATACATTGAAACATCGTTACACAAATAACCTTAGTACATCTATTTTATCTTCTTCCATTGATTTTTGTCTATCAAACTTCGGCAAAAAGACTTTAATTTTAATCTTTCCAGGTCAGCACATCGCATCTAAGAATTAGACCAAAAATAAGAAGGCATAACCATGAAATCATAGCTGTTCAACTACTTATATCAATGTTCTAGGAACAATGTATTTTATCTTTCCTTGTATCGGCAGTTAAAATCTAAAATATGTTTTTCTATAATTCTCCTGTTCTGTATGCAACATAGGTGTTTAATGAGCAGAAAATATAAAATGTTCTAAAATATTTTCTCCTCCTTTTGAGTACTATATAATAAATGTCATTCAAACAAAACTTAAATGACATAAGTCATAAAAGGTAACCTTGTGGAAAACCAATAATGAATGAACTCTTTTTACTTTTACCGTTATGAATAACTGCATAATGCATTGAATAACCCACTTGTTTGATATTCTTTACAATACGACTATCATTTTACATGAGTATTGTCTATTTAAAATAACACATTCTAATCAAATGAATTTAACCTTCTTTAAAGTAAACACTACTTTACGTTCCCCGACATCATGAAGAATATATTCTTTCATGTATAGAACAGTACCATTTAGTATCAAGAATAGTAAAAAAAACAACTTTTGCCTCCAAATCACAATAAAGCTTCATAATAATCATGATTTTATAGCGCGAACCCATTTGATGCGCTCGTAGCCCTTCTCATAACCGCATCTGTACGATATTAATGAACATAAAACTATCTAAGTTTATTTTACATTTCCTTAAATGCAGAGGTAGCTTTGTAAAGAGCTTTAAAAACTAAAAATAGCAGATATTCTTGATTCATTTCACTGGGACTCTGCCTTCAAACAAATATACCCTTGGCACATTATATATATATATGTGTATAACTATTACTTCAAAATTGAGGTTGAACATATGTTATGGTCTTCGAACAGGAAGTGAACTATGTTTACAGATTTAATGGCTATTGAATCTCTTTACATCTCGTCTCTAAACTGAAGAGCTATCTAAGGACAATAATTTGCTAATCTATATCATTTGTAAATACGACTGCACTAGTTCAGTAGTTCAATTTCAGCAATGTTTACATACAAGGCACATCTATTGATAGTGATGAAGTGATTGTAAAGTGGTTTTCTAAAAAGAATTTTGTGTATCGGGTACATCAATTTGCATTATAATTCCGAAATTCGGCGGGACGTCTGTGGTTCTTTCCCCTAAAACAGAATGTTTTTTGACGTCACTATTGCAAAAGCTGTAAATGATTTAGCATTTGTATTACGGCAAATTGGAATGATGCAAAAAGAAACCATAAATGCATGACCCCTACGATATTCTGGAAACCTTTATACAGCATGGTTTACAGATACAAGATCTAAGGCCTGGCTGGACTGCAAAGTTGGAAAAGATCTAAAATTTCGTGACAGAATTTATTCGATATTATTTACAAATATTTAACTCTATCAACAACGACAAGTTACAATCTCTGGTTCATCAAATATTGAAACAGTTTTACTTCCTTGACCTCATTAACATTCATCATCTTTCATTTCCATTTCTCATTCTTCTAGTTTTCTGAACCCGTGAGATCTATAGGTCATACTTCATTAGCCCAATAAGATGCAGGCCACTTGGCATAAAACTACAATTTATTTATTATTAGCAATTTATACGATAAAGATATCTCAATAGATTTAGAAACAATCGAAAACTATGATTGATGCTTACATGTCTTGAGGGAGGAATGTGCAACAATGTATCATTTTGTCCATCTATGATTGCCTCGATAACTCTTTTCGGTTGTTATATTAGCGAAATGGGTGCGGGAAGGATCGTTGTATAAAACAATACATGCATTTAGTAAGATAAGTTGGTGAGCCACCTTGAAAAATTTCAGCTCCATCGCCCCTTAAGGGGCTTGAAATGGGCTTTTGACCTTTATTTTCCTTTTTGATCCAATGAACGATGTAAATGATAACATTGTGAAATAATGAATTGTTGGGACAAGATATTCAATATGGTTGAATTGATAAATGGAATTTGATTTATTTTGATTTTAACATCTTTGTAATAATCTTGAGTAGAATTTGACTCTATTGGGGTAAATGTGGTAATATCCTTGTTACTTGCCTTTAAGAATCATCGTGCTAGTTGATGTTGATGCTTAAAGAAGAAGGGATGATGTCCTGGTTGGTAGATAACAAAGATCGCAAAGCTGGCTTCCCAGAGGGAATGTGGATGGGGAGGTTCAGGAAACTTCTTGTCAGATTGTATATTAAGTTTTCAGAGACTCCATTTATGTTCTAGTATAATGTTAGATATTATGTGGTCACTGATAAAAAGATTTTAAACGTTAAAAACATTCATTTATTCAACACGGTTTTTTTCTCATTTGCATATGTCTTTATAATTAGGAGACTTTCAATTTTACATTTTATTTACAAAGTTCACAACTAAAGTTCACAACTAAGGTTCCTTTCCACCAGCTGGTCCTTGACCAAACTTCCAGGCATTAATCTTCCTTTCTGGAGTTCAGGAATCTTTGTAAAATATAAAATTATATTCTAATTGTACAAACCATCTGAAATGACCCTACTATAATGTAATTGTATCGTACTGATGTGACTTCAGTCAGCCTCTTTGTGGCGTATTTGTCACCCTACATTGGCAGATACAAAAATTTTCAACTCAATGTTTACCATGTATGATATGAAAAGACCTTCTTTTATTCTTTCTCATTCAAGTCTACATAGATAGAAAGGTTATTATTATAGGTTTTATAGAAGAAATTAGGTCATATAGTTATTTACCGTATAAAGGAGAAGGAGTTTGAAAAGGGATATATGTGGGTTTGAATGATTCAACTTTAGTTCTTTATTCAAAACCATATTTATATAAGGATTATTACAAGTGTTAATCGAATTGTGTTATGGAATATTGATCAAATTGTTACTGTTCTGTTACTATCAAATTTGGTGTGATTTAGGACTACCCTATACTATGTGATAAATGAAAGCTTCCAGTACAGGTAAAAATTCAACTCATTGTATTTAATCTTCCTAGTCAAAACTGGCTTGACTATGTCATATTGCAGATTTGCTTATGATCAATTCCACGTGATTTTGAATTTGGAATGGTGCTGATTATTATGTCATAATGTTACCATAAGTTGTTCGACATCATAGCCTCTAAAGACTTGAAATATCTCCTTCTAAAAAAGTGGGAGTGTACAAGTGATTTTTTTAAAAAAGGGAAATTTTGAATTTTCTTGCATTATTCTCGTCTTTTAGAGGATATTTTGTGATTTCTATTATGTGGGTTCAACAGAGTAGCATTGTATTTCCATATTTATTTATGAACTTTAATAATGATATGCTTTCTGAGGTGCTTACGGAAGGGGTTTGAAACAGGGAGACGTTGTCCCTACTTATTAATACAATTTTAACTCCACACGACCGATCCTAAAATCATAAAGAAACTATAAAAAGAAGCATATACATGTTCTCACTGTGGGATTTTATATGAAATGGGGTGAGACAGGGCGACGCTCTAACGTCATACTTATTGCATTACTCTGGTCAAAACCTTTATACTATTGGTGATAACTGAATCGATTCCAATCTCTTTTCTTACTGCTTAGTTCATTGCGTTTACGGATGTTTCTTAGGGTTAAGGTCAATGATTTGTCACCTCGAATTGAAAATGGGAAGGTATATTTGTAAAGAGGATCTAATAATTGAATTCTTTTGAAATAATCTATAATCATAATATTTAGTTTAATATTTCATATTATAAGTTGCCCCACTAGAAAGATACAATACAAAACCCATAATACCTTAATAATACACTAATAATATTTTCACCAGCATAAGTAGAGAACTCTTCATTGGTTATTTTCAATGTTTTCTCCTTATAGAAAGGTGAATATTTAAGCGGCTATGAAAACATGAAAGGTCAAATTGAAACACCTCTCTTCATAAACTACCAAGTTGGTTGAGTATCAATATTTAACCTCAATACACTTTGTTTTCTGTCTAAATGAATTTCATTTATCCCACATGTTATTGCTGGTGTTATTACACACCAGTAAAGTCAAGCTTTCCAACTTCCAGATCAGAATATTTTCCCAGATTTGAATAACTTTTAGGACATTTATTTTTTGAAAAAGATCTGAATCTTTGATTGAAAAATTTGCAGATATATTTATGAGTGTTTCCACGAAAATCTTGTTAAATCGATTTCGATTTTTTCGTCTTTTTCGGCACACGATTTTGTGTAATTTTTCTGTTTTTACTTATTTCTTATTCCCAATAAAACATAGAATTCAATATCAGATTAAAGAACAATTAGAACCAGTGACTCTTGAACAACAAAAGGCCGAAGTTACAAATAGATTTAGTAAATTTTTAACTTAAAGAAATCAACTGAGTAAAAGTATACATTAACTTTCATTACTGGGACACTTTGTTTAGGATGAATCGACGCGACCAACTACAACCGCAAATCAGACACGAATTAAACAGACAGTAACGATGTTTTCTAAACTCTTTACATACACCAGGGAACTACTACACTAAAATCTTCAAAAAAGATTTTTTAACTTTACTTTCCAATTCATTTAAATTAGCATACAGAACTGGTAAATGAGTATTCATTCTCTAACTCTCCATTTCAGATGGTAAACAGAATGGGTTGTAAATTATTATGTTTATTGGTAACGATAGCAGCATCGTCAGGTGTTGTTTTATCAGGTAAGGCAATCAATCAAAATTCATAATTGGTCTATATTGTGGTCAGTGCTTAATACGTCTACATGCCAATTTCAGTACCTTGTTCAGCAATTAAACGATTGTCAGGGTTGGTCGGTCTCGAAATACCATTAGAGTACCTTTCATTGTCTTCCCAATTTCCATTCTACATGTCTCGAAAAGATCAGCTGGTCAGGCACCGTATGTTCAGCGTCCTACAAATGGAAGTCTCTCTAAAGGTTTCAATTTGTATATCTATCAATAACAATCTCTGATGTTTCAGTTGACCAAGATTTATGTCTGCCCAGAAATGCTAATGGTGGAACTGAAATTTTTAGAAATGGTTTGCGAGAAGACAGTGAAGTTGGTAAGTTTCATCCATAGCGAATATCCAACCCAAATTATTCTGACATTGCCAAAGCTATATCGGCTGCTTTTCTATGAGACCGTCAAAAACAATTTATTGCAGATTCAAAGTTGTGATTGGTTTCATAAGAGAACAGTTTTTTCCCTTTTTCTTCCCTTCTGATGCAAGAATGAATGGTCCAAAATACCGCTAGTATTACATTATACATGTAATTCAATCATCTTGAAAAAGAGCTTTTTTATATCCAAATCCGCAATTTATCTTTCGATAGGAATTTGTTATAAAAATTGAATTCAACTTTATAAATAGCCCACTTGCGACAAATTTGTTAAATTGGCATAGTTTCACCCTCGCATCAAATTATGGTTATATCTATTCATTGCACCCCGTAGAACATATTCTGCTATTTATTTTAGGATATGTGGTCACTTATGTTGATTTACCGGGAACAGAAGAACAACTTGATCTTAGACAAGACCAAAACGAATATTTTCAGTTTAATACCTCATCCCGAAATGTTGTGATTAAAAAATCTTTGGATTTTGAAAAATTGACATCACAATTGGTAGATTTTCAAATCTTTTGTAAAGATCGAATTTCTAACTCTAGGGAGGTTTGTATATTTGAATCTTAGATATATATACATCTAGATTTGGAATAGGAATCATCTTTTCCTACGCACTTTTAAAAGCATTAAGTATGAAGTATATCATTTCAATACGTTAGGTATTTGGTGTCTTAGCGGCTTTAGATGGTTTCTTTCCCAGATACTGGTATAACCAATATAAATACGAAGGTTCAAAACCTTAGTCACAAGACAAATCCCTGAAATATAGATGAAATAGTCATCTACAATATGTTTTAATGATAGATGAAATGATTTTCTTTCTTGTTTTCAGACAGAAATAACAGTAAAAGCAATTATTGAAGATGTAAATGATAATAAACCAAAGTTTGATAAAGATGTATATTATCTGAATGTCTCAGAGGTAACTTTGTCTTTCTTCCTCCATCAATGTTGATATCAATCAATAACGTTCATGGAACATTTTATCCACTAAGTATATGGCAGGTTAATATTTACAATTGAAAATGTTCTATTTTTTTCAATACATTGCAGGATACCAATATTGACGGGTTTATTACCACCTATATAAAAGCTGAAGATTTAGATGCTGGTAACAATGGTCGAGTACTTTATTCTATTCAATCTGGACCATATTCAGTAAGTACCACCTCATAATTGTATGCATGATATCCTTACCACAGAGTTACACGCATCCTCATGAAAATATCCATATGAAGTTTGAGGGTACATCTACAGAGTTGATTCTTAATTGATGCAAATTGTTGAACCATTGTGGAGATGCAGTCAACCAACAATTCTTCATCTTCACAAAGTCAAGCTATTTGGACCTTCAACTTATGACAAATGTCGTGCTCGGGCGGATTAACAACTTTTCGAAAATCCAGATTAAAAATTACTTTCAGCATTATCTCAACCAAAACTATTGTAGCTGAGAACAACCATTTTATTCACCAACATGAACCAGGTTTATCACAATATAATATGCCTTTGTAAAATCATTAACTGTCTCATACACATCATCCTTGTTGTTTACATAATGGTTTCTTATTTTATTTTATTCTATTAAAGATACAGTCTTGACTTTTATTTTTCTGTCTTAGGATTATTTTGACATTGAAGATAAAGTCAATTCAGTATTGAAGTTAAAAAAGAAGCTAGATTTCGAAACGAACCGAGAAATGAGCATAACTATATTGGCAAAGGTGAGTCCTTAAATCCTGTCGAATAAGGTGCAGCAGATTTAAAACTCCATTTAATTGTGGAATCGTCCAATGTTTAACAGATACAGGTCAATGTTAGTTTTATGTCAAAATTCGTGGGCTGGAGGGGCTCTATACCGGCACCACCACCATCACAGACCGAAACTATATTTTCTCTGAAACCTCAAAATATAAATATCCATAGACATTGAATAAACTAGGACTCACTAACAAAATTTCGCATCGAACATAGGTACTCAATATAAAAAAAATCATCTTATGGACTCAGCCTTCTGATATTATTGTTGAGTTACCGTGTTTTCTTCATGTTAAAATTATTGGAGATGTATATTTCTGTATATTTTATAGGATGCTCCCATTGACGAACCTGTCCTAAGCTCCACAGCTGAGTTGGTTATAACTGTTCTGGATGCTGATGATCAACCGCCAGTTTTCAGAGAGAGAAAGTACACGGGATCTGTTAATCAGAATTCACCACAGGTTAGTTTTTTAATACAACTTTTATTTAATCCAAACTCTTAGTTACTGGAAATTAGCAGGTTTTTGGATCTTTATCTGGTCTTTGTTATCTTGTGTCTGATGTGTTTCTGTATCCAGAAGAACTAAGTTATAAAACATCTGTCATCACAGAATTTGTGCCCTGTTAAAACGTTCTGTCCACCTGAAATGTTGACAAAAGTTAACATTTTAGCCCGTGACACTACTCCACATAATGCCATGCTTCGTCAGGAAATGTAGAAAAGTCTCAGGAAGATGTTTATTTTAGATAATATAGGCCTATACATGATACTGTTGTTCTTTCAGGGAACATCGGTCACAATCACTCAGAAAATAGAAGCCTATGATCCCGATATATCGTTTAATAGTTCAGTTAGATATTATTTAATTGGTAAGAGCTTGTCATCAGTATTGTGTATTAACAATTTTTCACCAATATTTAAACTTCACTTTTATATTCTCAATCCTTAACAGTCTAACACAATCACGTGGAATCAAGGCGCCCCATGGTGTACACACGTGGATGCTTTTATACCTTCTTGTACTTGAATCAACACCATGTGGTCATTTGGTATCGGTGAAAAATTGATATACAATTCCTTCGATAGTAAGACCATACCAGGCCCCTATCTTAAAAATCTTAGAAAGAAAATTTCTCGTTAGTGTAAATTTTAAGTTGAGAAATATCATACTTACAATAAATTCTCATCGACAAAATGAATATTGAAGAATGAGGCCATCGCTATTATATATTCATGTACGAGAAGGTGATTTTTTGAATAATTAACCACTCCTTTCTTCTCATTCACCCTTATACAACAAGGTAAGTTTTGATTCTTGGTAGGTTTAGTCTACTTCCGAACACATTCGACTACTAATTTATTCAAATTGTAGGCATTTTGTTGAATCAAGTATTAAAGCAATTCGAAACGACAAGAAACAATGAAATGCTTTCAAATTGGGGAAAATTTGCAAAAGGCAAAATCAGAAGATGTTTTGCACATACAACTAGGAGTAGTGTCAGGGATATCAGAACTCAAATCCCCCCTGTATCATAAACGCTCAGTTTCATTTTTTTCTCAAAAAACTACCCTCTTACGTATGTTTAAATAATGAACATTTCACATAAGTTCGACTGCCATTTCCCGCCACTCCGAAACGGTAAGGTAAGAAGATCGCTCAAAGGGCGATAACTCTTTTGAATGAAGGTGGTGGATTTGAAGCACGTACTCAATATTGCCTGAAGGAATTATCAATGACTGAAACTTGATAAAGTTTATACAAAAGAGCATTTGGCACTATAATCACCATGCATTATGTCTTGTTGACGTAGGAATGAATGATGCATTACCATGTAGATCTAGCACTTAAGGATATTCAAATCTGAGGAAATGCTTCTATATTATATATACTTGTATGGTTGGTAGAAATATTTGATTGTTTAAACTTTGCACTAGTCACCTTGTTTTTAAATGTTGTAATAATAACCCTACAGCTTTTCCGTGGCTGCTAATAATCGTCACATCCCTGCTTTAGTCGTTGCTTCATTTTCAACCCAGTACTACCAACATTATCCCTTATGGAAACCCCTTACTTATCTACAGGGGCGCCGGCTTCCAATACCACAGGCGGGGGCAGTATCAGACATTGGGCTTCTAAGTTCCATCCCCGTAGTGTCTCGAAAACAGCGCACCTGCCCAAAGGTTCCGGCGCCTCTTAATATTGCCTGTTTCCTTCCATTAACAACTGTGGTGGCATTGTAGTTATTCTGTAGGTGTTTGATTATACATACATCATAGTTCTCTGTGTTTCATATTAGTAGCCTAGCTATTGAAATTCTGATCACGATTTTTTATTAACTTTTCGTCTTGTACCAAAAGTCATTCAATGAAAAAATAATTTGATCTTCAAAACATCATTGTAAGTTTGTAAATACTTAAAGCAAAGAAACTATTTTTCTAAATATCAAAATTATTGCAAATGTTTTAAATGCCTTTGTTTCCCGCCAAATAGATCCAGACAATATCTTCACTATTAATGCTGATACTTCCGAGGTTACGGTTTTACAACCACCAACTTCTGGAAAGTATACTGCCATAATTGAGGTAAGTCGATACCACTGGAAGGTTTACGCTTTCTTTTTCTTGCCCATGACAGTTTCAAGAACACAGATATTAGTTATCAATATGCCTAATGGAAGAACATGCTGTTAACATAGAATTGGAACATGACCGGAAGTGACGATCATATTACGGTGGTGAATCAAATCTATTTTGTTGCTTGCTTACATAGTTCATTTGAAAGTAGATAACCCTGCTGTGGACAAGATTGTCTCTGAGAACGTTCTTCATCCTCTTGGCTTTAGTCTGGAGTCAAAGTCCAAAGACCTTATTGAATAATCTCCACTAATAAAAATACTGTGGCGGTTGTCGCTAGCGAGGGAGGACATGCTTATTCGGACCTATTGCCTATTTGAAGAGTATACATAGATAATATCGATCATTGGTATATTCATTCCCCATAAACACCATTTCATTTATAAACTGGGCAAAAGTCATACAGGCTACTAGTCGCAAAGAGGTACTAGTGGTACCCTATGTATGTCATCTAGATCCACACTAATCTGATGCTAATGCGGAATCTAATCTGTTTTATTGCTCCTCCCACCAGGCAATACAAGTTGACAATGAGCTAATGAAAGGAACAGCCTTGTTAGAAATAGTAGTATTGGGTACAGATAAAAATCCTCCAGTATTTGAAAGAGAGAACTATTATTTGTCAGTACCAGAATCCACCCCAGTTGCTACTACAATACTCACTGTATCAGCTGACGACCAGGACTTTGTAAGTTATTTTTAAATCTAGGTGTGTGGTTAATCGTTTCTAAGCAAAAGTCATACACCACCAGTAGATCAGCTGCAGTGAACTATCATTATTGTGCTATCGAAATGAGGAAGAAAGATCTCCCTCATGATGATTGAACCTCATTATTCGCATGTCGGTAGTTACAGAGGGGAAGAAAATTGGATGTAATCCAATTCCATTACTGCAACTTAACACCATACACCTCTGCCCCTTCGGATATATTACTTGCCCCTTCAAACAATCAATTCAAGCCACGGGCCTGTGTTACTGTTCAGATCACCCTTTTACCCCTACATAAAAGGGGAAAGCACTATTATTTTAAAAGAAATATGCTCCACAAAGCATGCCATACATACTTTGCTCATAAAATCATCCGAATCTTTGTTTTATGTTTCAGGGTGATACTATAACATACAGTGGAATAACAGTTCAAACTGTGTTTCTTGTTGACTCTAAACAGTACGTATCATAGGCCTACATTTATAATATTTGTAATTCACAACTCAAAAGTGATGCTCTCGTGGAATAGATGATTCTCATCAAGGAGCCACCAAAATGAAAATTAGAGAACGTATTCTTAGTTTCAGAGGATCATGTCTTCCAATATGTCCTTGTCAATGTTTATGAAAGTTATTTAATCTGGTTATGGGACGATGTGGGCTTTCTGTTTATGATTTCAGCGGGGATATAACAGTTAATGAACCTTTAGATTTCGAGAACCAAAGAGAGTTTAACATTGTGATAACAGCGACGGATGGTACATTTGTAAGTATGATATATCAACACATCATACCCACTGACCCTTATCTGATCTTCGATAGCTTTTATATCAGCAACCAGTCCTATGGAGCATGTTTCTAATATAAACCCAGAGAGGTATCCTCAGCCTTAAAGCATGTTTCGAATTCGATGCTTCCACCGATGACCGTTATTCAAAATCAAAATCGGGTGTAACTTGCAATTTTTAAAAAAATCGATAACAATGAATCTCCAATGAAAAGACATAAAATATCAAAGCTTTGGTTTCCGGAAGATGAAGTAACACATGATCGTTACCTGAATGAACCTGAACAATAACAATGTTTACTTCAGACTGCCACTACGACTGTCCAGATAAAGGTAACTGATGTAAATGATAACAACCCCATAGTAACAGAGAAACAGATCACAGTTGAAGCAGCGAGAAAACCAGGAACTATTCTTACTAAACTAGAGGTTAGTTGGAACATTTTTGACACAAATCGTAGGTGTTGAGAGATTAACTGATAATGATGGTGATACTGAAGATAATTCTGATTCCGGATAGTTCATTTAGAAAATAGAATTGGTGCCTTCTGACACGTAAAAACGTAAAAATAATATTTTCTAAATTTCTTTGAAATACAGTGTCTGGGCGCAGTTGGAGGTACAACCTATTTTTCTAGGGGGAAAGGAGGGACCTGTATTCCAACTCGCGCCGCCACTTGATGACACCATGATGCGAAATTTTCTTCCTCATTTATTATTTCCCAATATGTTATATCTTTTATTCCAATAGAATATCATACATCCTCTATCAAAAGAGTAAATCCAAATCAATCAATTGACCGACCTTATTTACTAGGGTATAAGTCAAGATATCCGTGGTCATTCAACATCAGATTCTGAAGCCTGCATTGCTTTTTGATTAGTTAATTGACACCGGTGATACAAAACAAGCCCCATTAAAGGTCTCCTCACCTTTCACTTTCTAACTTCATGCTTGACTTGGTATTAATTACATTGTATATCGACTTGGGTAGACTGTAATGATGATACTTGGCGAGGGTTAAATAGTCAAATTTCAGTGTGTCAGACAAACACAGTGTCGGACGTAGAGTTACTGATCGTAAGATTTCCAAAGATAAACCACGGAGGACATAATATATATTATATTGCCTTTTACTGGTTCTTTTTGTGAATTGAAATGAAAACTGCTTGGACAAGTATTTGATTTTGGAAAAGTGAATGATTTTCAAATCGTTTTGTTAATTTAGGAATGGAAGTTAAACGCCTATAAACTATGGATTGTTAGCTTATATTATGTGACTTAATTGTGTTGATTTATTGTAGGCGTATGATAAGGATGAAAACAGCAAATTGAAATATGAATTGCTGAGCCACACTGAGTAAGTATCCAGAGTTCTCTCCTTGCTATAACATTACAGTTTGGTCTTCTGTTTGGTCATCTGAGACTATCATTCGATAAGCAAAGCACAATAGTTAGAAATTTGAATAGCTCTTTCGATATTCTCTCTCGAACATTGTATCTCGAAATTATCCAAGTGGTTTATCGAATTGCTGTGACTCAATAGCTTTAAATAGGTTAATAATGGAATTTCGAAGGAAGTCGTTCAAATCTTTCTGAGATATAACACCAATTTTATTTCTTGTAACAAGTAACCAACTATCGAGAAGATCAGTGACTAAGTATTTGTATTGGTCATGTTGAAATATAAAACAAAGTCTCGTTAAAGCCTACTGATCGATTATAAAGAGCACGTTAATGAGAATTTTTCTAATAAAAGACATGTCAATAAATAACTTTAATTTGACATAACTCTACACCACCAATAATGTGTTTCACAGTGAAGACTAGTGTCTTATCTCCTTCATTGCTTTCTAGTGATTGTAATCACACATAACACAATACTCCCTGCCTCAGGACATCTCTACCATTGTAAGATAGTGTCATTTGGGAAAAGGTAGTAGAAAAGGCTTTATGTGATAACTTGTGAGGATTTCATTCAAAACTCTAGTTGGATAGCTGTATAAAATGCATTAAATTGAGTGATTAGTGAGGTATTTCTATTAAAATTTGATAAAAAAAATACTCGAAACATAACCCATTTTTAACAAGTATTTACCAACAGCTTTAACATGTGCATTCATTGTTTCGATCACAGTTTTTCAAAATATTTGAAATTTGAATAATTTGATAGTAAATTTTCATGTTATTTTAAGAAATAACAAAGTAGGATATGAATATTGGAGTATAAAAAAATATATTATAAAGTTTAAAGACTGTTATATGTATATATTTGTTTGAAGTATATAATTGATTACACGAACAGTGAAAGTGAAGATCTATATTTATCTTAGACTATATAGTATTCATCAATCATATTAACAGGTTGTCTGCCCCACCTTAACCTTCCAGAGAGACATTATTACCCCCACTGTGGTCATTATTACCTTCCACTGTGGTCATTATTAGGGCTATTATTGTTACTAGCTTTTTTGAAGCACCATTTCCACCATTTTTCTGTGCATAGAAGGGTATGGCGGTAAGGGTAACAAAGGCGGTTGTCACAGAACTGTTAGCTTTTCTGCTGATTCTTCAATTTATTTTACTTATTGAAGTCCACCACATATTTTGAATGAGACAAGCAGAGACATGTGTTAGCATTTCTGCTGATTCTTCAATGTGTTTCTTAATAAGTCCATCAGAGATATTCTTTTGTCTTTTCAGCCTCTTCACAGTTAGTGATGAAGGGGTAGTCTCGATTACTGGATTACAAGATGAATTGAAAGACAGTCGATACGACTTGGTGATCGAGATATCCGACAACGGAGAGACTCCAAGAAAGGTTTCCACAGTTGTGACAGTGGTGTTTGATCCACTTCCGGTTTCTGGAGCTGTTGTCATGGCGAATCAAGATGATACTCTGGCTATTGTGTTTGGTGTTCTAGCCGCTGTGATGTTGATTATCATTATTTTGTTGGTGTTATATATCGTAAGAAGGTAAGTAAGCCTTATTACCAGCGATCAATAGCAGAAAATAGGCCTACAATTCCTTGTTAGAAACGATATAAAATAATATTTCATTTGGATTAATTTGGAGATTCCCGGGAAGGTTAATACCTCCAAGTTTGGTCAAGGTACAGCTGGTAGACTCTTGTGAACCTAAATTATTATCCTCGTAAAAAAGTAATTCGCCCATTCGCACTAGTAATGTTTGAAACTCAAAAGCTGTCCAATTTTACGCCTTTAGACTGATTTCTGTATACCGATTTCTAGAATGAATTCAATCAGCATATTTTAGATATAAATCTAATTCCTAATTTAGAGGAAAGTTATTAGAGCATTACTTTCACTATTCGATATGGTACTTATAATTTCTAATCTCACCCAGAGTAATAAAATACGTTTTGTGCTCAAAAATTTACTTCGATTTTGGATGGTTTTCCCTTCGTCACATCGAAATTAAAAATCATACTTGATAAATCAAACGGAACGGAAGAAATATTTAGAAAGCTATAAAATCATCAGACCGGGACTTAAGTCAGTTATCAATTTTTCGTTCAAAGTTTTTGACAAGCGAAAAAATTTAATTGCCACGAATTATGAACTATATGAAATAGGTTTGATATATAATATAATATATAATATAATATATAATATAATAGTTCTGGGGATTATAGAACAGGTTGTTGGCTCATTCTGAAACTATTTCCATCAGAAGAATCGACTAACAGTTAAAGAATATGTCTACAATACAAATTTTCGATCCTCAACCAGGACCTTTCCTGATCTAGAATGTTGTAAAAATGAAATGATTCAGTTGAAAGTTCTGGACACGCCTATAAGTTCCCCAGTGTTATAATTGTATCTGTACAGTTTGTCCAAATCGTGCTATTTCTTGATGCAAGAAGGGCAATTCTAAGTATAAATCATGATAATCCATGTACAGACGTGGTTTCGACTTTTCGATTTATGGCTTGCTGTATGAGAATGAATAGCGATACCGTCTTTGTAACGCAGATCTTCACAAGCTTGTATTATTCAGTGACGGATTGGGCAGCTCTGACGCCTCCGACCCCACAGTCCGCATTTCGTATTACTGGCCGCGCGTTACTCCATTACAAATCCAGAATAAAATCGTCTCATGTTACCCTTCTTAATTTCAGGCGACAACAAAGCAATGAAAATCTCAATCAATCAAAGCTGAATAGAGCTTCTATGGATCCTAAAGGTCTGAAATTCCAATCAAAACAATCGACCAACCGCGGACCCAGTAAGGTACACATGAGCCATGCTGGAAATATTGATGAAACATCAGATGGTGCGACAACAATTCAGGAAAATCCTTTTAATGACGATCATATAAATATAAATTATGGTTACGTTCACAGTGATTCGGAGACGGATAGAGAAATGGATGAAATTCAGATCGAAGCAGCAGTGATACCCTACGATGCTTACAACCATAATGGTGAGGTGTACACAGATGTTGGTGGTCCGGATGTACATGTTTATCAAACTATGAGCACTTTTAAAGACAATAGTAGTAATGAAAGTATCAATAGTGAATCAACCAATAGTAAGAAAGCTCTAGTAGGAGGCGGGGCTAACAAACGTCCAGCAATGCAATCAATGCCTTGGGATAGCAATGGTCAAATCCCTTCCTCCATGGTATGTATTTCCGCAGTTAAAACTTTGGTACGTATTGTCCCAATTATTTACGAAATGTCTTGCATGATGTCCTATATATCGTATGATCTGCATGTATCTTGGTTAAGGTTAGATTTTTTTGTTTTAACCATTTGATTGTTTATTAATGCACCTTTGGTTTGGTTTGTGTTTCGAGCATCCACAACACTTCCGGTGTGTGTTTTAAATATCCTCTTCGTGTTCTGATTTGCTGGAACAGTCCCCATTTTACTTTGTGTATCCATTGCACTTAAGTATTCACTTCACTTCCGGTTTTGTGTTTCAATAATTGTGTGTACTTCCGGTACATGTTTCAATAATCCCTAGCACTTCTGGTTTATGTTTCAATAATCCCCTGCACACCCGTTTGAATACTTGTGTGCACTTTAGGTTTGTAGTGTGTTCCCCGAGCATCCCCTGCACTCCCTTGAAGTTTTCCATTACACTCTACATTATTATAGATTATAAAACTGGCAACTTTGGGTTTCTGTTTGCAATACCTCACATTGTTTTCCTAAATAGCTAACAAAGTTGTGAAAAGATCATATAATAGAACATACAGTATTTAACATTCTAGAGTTTTTGTAGTCTCTCTGTAGTCCAAATTATTTCTGCAAAACTACTTGTTATTCTTTTTGCGTAGAAGTTATAAAATCAATTGTAGACTAGCAATTTAGAAAGACGAGATTCGTATATCTAAAAACTTAATGAGTTGGTCTCATATACCCACCATCCAAGCAAGCTATATTTATTTCAGTCCAAAGCATCATTTGCTTTGCTCAGCGTTAATCATTGCAATTTGCTTTTGCTGATAGAAATTTACTATCCAATGCTTTTATTAATTTCCTTGTTATTTTTCTTTCAGCAAAGTTTTGATCCCGATACGGCAGTGACACCTGTTGACGAGAAACCGGAAATAACTGTATACTTTTAAAGAATGGAATTAATAATACGCTCACATCTGAATGGATGAAATTCGGTGATATTTTAAAAGACATATTAGGTTGTTTTGTGATATTTAAAAGCATATTCTACCAATACCGAGTCACAAAGTGTATATTATATTGATCATAGTGTTACTAAAGTGTTATTGGGGACTGCTGAAAATGGACTCCTCTATAAAGCCTACGTTGTAACAAGTGCTTCCATATTTCAATCTTTACTAATTAAGATAAGAAGGAAACAACTATATTTTACAAGGAAAGCAATTAAGGATCCTATCTACCACCTGATCCTTGTCCAAAACTCTTGGCATTGATCTTTCTCGGATTAAAGGAATAAGCCCAATGTGATATGTGTTTCAAGGATAATTCCCAGGGTTTATTCAGAATGTACTAATGTGAAACGAATGACCTTCAGTCTATAGAAATTGTGGTTGTGATATTGTCATGATATCTTATTTACTAGTGATAAAACTTTGAAAGATCCGTGTATCATTTCCCTTTAACATACTAGTGGATAATACTAGCGGATAAATGCGCATTTTCTTGGCCGTTTTATTGATCATCGCTTTTTCTGACTCCAGGAAGATAATACGGATGTGACAGCAAGACGCTGCTTCAAGCTGATATAGGCCACATAGAAATCGAGATCAGTTGGACCATATGAAAGTCCCTTTTCTATAATAAACAAACATTAACTTATTTTGTATACATTGTATATATAAACAGTATACATATTAAAATTGTTAATTGTATATTTAGATTTTATATTATTACAATTATTGTACAGTTATTAAAATAAATTTATTAACAACGATATTGACTTTTGAAATTTGTACCGTAAAATACACGTAAAATGAGCTCTTAGAGTTTTACTCTGAGAGCATAGTCAACAACATCGAGTAATAGAGCCTACCAAACATATAAAGTTTTGGAAACACATCCCTTTTATATGGCCCATGCCATTTAACCCCCTTATGTGCGAGCTTTGGAAACTCTTGTATAACAGTTATTGGCGGTAAATAAAGTGCGGCACAAGAGGGTACAATTAATGATCATGCAATGTGGTATCATGGTTACAGCTGGAGAATGTTTTGCAATGAGCAATAACTTCTGTAACCACGGACCACTTGACGTCAGGTCAGCACAGAACGTCATACATCGCTACTCGGTCATCTTAGTAGTATAATAATTTAAATCTTTTAAAGTTCGAAGGAATAATAATTAATATCAGTAATATCTGAATATGAGTTTATCTCCAAGATCTGCCATGAAAACCGGAAGTACCCTCACTTACAAAGCAGCATGCTATGAACGCCACCTGTCGACGTACATGGAACAAATGGAATATGAATACAGATGGGCCACTTCAAAGGTTACCAGAATGATCGGTGATATAAATCGAATGAGGGGACAGGTAATGCATTAATCAGTAAACATTTGGCGTATTGTCGGTATTTAAGGAATAGTGAAAACTAATACATTTAAAGGCTCTTATTCTATATATTATAGCCTACATAGGTCAAGTTCTAAATCGCAAATATATACGCATTTTAATAGACAATAATTGTTATGGATATAGACTTCTATTTATTCCTTTTCAACACAACGTTTCATTACACATAGGGTAACGTTCTCAAGTCACACTTTACACATACAGGTGCCTTTCTCAAGTCACACATTACACATACAGGTAACGTTCTCAAGTCATCACTTGAGATATCTGAGATTGCCCGAATGAACCTATTTATGAGAGTTTTGCCCCAAAAACTTGCCTTCGGTGTTGCGAGGGCCGCCACTGTTTTATGCCTATATCAGTATCAATCTTATAGAGGAAATCAGTTATATCAAGCACATAGAATGGAGAATATTTCGATACTAAAAACAAACTTTTTGTAATTCATTTCACAGGTCTATGATTTAACAGCAGAATATTTAAACATGAGAGAGAGGGCGAAGACTATGGAGGTTGAGAGAAAACTTTTGTTAGCAGAAGACCGAGCAAGACGAACAAATGATACAGAAGAAGTAAAATACCTTGACAATTTGATTGACCATCTGAATGAAATAGGTAGTAAAATACAGCTGAAACCTTGTATAGTGACACAAGACACCATCTTAATCTCTTCTAAACAGAATACCTCAGAAAACGTTTGAAAGAAACAGTAACATACACTTCTTTTGGCAATTATCGAAAACAGTTTGTTGTCAAAGAAAGATAAGCTTATAAATTGTTGTTCATGAAAAACAATGTCATCATTTGTAAAGTTGATTTAGATATGAAAAGAGAGCACTTTTAACAAGACTGTGATATTGTTGTATGCATGTTTTTACAAGAATCAATACAATTTTAAGCGAATATTTTTCAATAAAAACAAAAGGACAACTGTCTACAAATTTCATTTAATTTGTAATTCTTTTAAACAACACAATAAACAGTTAAAAAAATAATAATAAACTATATTTTTTTTTATTAAGAGACGAAATATAATGTTTTCACCAAACAGAAAGATGTTTTCTGACTGTTATCGATTAACTACTACTTAATCGTACGGTGGTCCGTGTACCACATCATTTATTTTTTCAATTTTGAATTAAAAACTTGTATTTTCAATAATAATAATAATTCAATAATATTTAATAAAAAATAAACTCGAATTTTCACATCTTACTACAATTACTTTACGTTAATTTACGGTGTCTTCAATATACCAAAAAACAAACCCTACAAATTATTTTTTAGGGTTTGAATATAATGTATGTCATCTTATTACTTAGCCAGTTTGAGAAAAACACATTCCACTTTCTTGACGATCTTTAAGTCATAGTAACTAATTATTATAGTAGTACATACACGTAATGGGAGACAACTCTGTAAAATCTAGGGAACTTGACAATTTTGACTATAGCACTAAATATCCAGACGTTCTGTATTGATTGAATATTGAAGGTCGCAATATTTACTAAGATCTGGGTTAAATAATTGAGGTCATCCCGAGACAGGATAAAGGAAGAGACCAATTCTAGTCAAAGTCCATCTAATAATAATTAGTATATTTTTGATAGTTATGGTATATTAGAATTAACCGTAAGTATATATCATCTTCAGTATGTTCTATTTTTATCTGCTTAGTTTGTCGACATTTTGAAAGAAGGAAATAACTGGAGAAAATTAGAAGTAAGTTAACAATGAAAAGAGCGAAATTTTGTACTCTCTCCTCTTTGACAGTCTATCCTTACCGAATATTACATATTGAGTTTACTCAGTTGACAATTATACAGTATATTCGAAGACTATCGTTAATATCTAAAGAAGTACAGCCTCCAGTCTGGTTCGTTTGTTATGGTTAAACTCTATGATGATGATGTATCATCCACCATTGAACTTCCGAGAGCATGGACATAACTAATAGGTCGTCATTTTGTTAGTATTTCTTAAATATTTTATGAAATTGAAGAAAATGTTTCTCTGAATATTAAATTGTTTAGTATGCCCTAATTTAAAGGCGTTATTCACAAATGACCGGTGAGAGAGGTGGTCTGGGGGGGGTCATTTGTTCATGGCCTGAAGCCATAAGTATATTCCAGATAAAACCATAAATAGTTTCAAGACAAAATCATAAATAGTTCCAGATAAAACCATAAATAGTTCCAGATAAAACCATAAATAGTTCTAGATAAAACCGTAAATAGGGTCCTGATAAAACCATGAATAGTTTCCATATAAAACCATGAATAGTTTCCATATGAAACCAAATGGTTTCCATACAAAACCATAAATAGTTTCCAGATAAAACCATAAATAGTTTCCAGATAAAACCATTAATAGTTTCCAGATAAAACCATTAATAATTTCCAGACAAAACCATAAATAGTTTCCAGATAAAACCATAAATAATTTCCAGACAAAACCATAAATAGTTTCCAAATAAAACCATAAATAGTTTCCAGATAAAATCATAAATCGTTTCCAGATAAAACTATAAATATTTTCCAGATAAAACCATTAATTGTTTTCAGATAAAAGCTGATTTACAATAGAACCATGGTAAGCTCTCAAGAAGGGAGGACAAAATATTGGTTCTCCAGCGTTTCATGGTTCACTAACTTCACTGGAGATACAGCCATACAAAGTTTCAATATTGAATAGTGATAGTTTTCCAAATTTAGCCAAGCTTAGTTGGATAATGCCTGTTGTCCACATAGAGTTCACAAAGCTTAGTTTTCTTAATTTCCATATAGACTCTGGTTTGATCTCTAAAGAAGAGATGAATAAGGTCATGTTCAGCGTCGAAACAGTACAAACCTTTGAAACCTAAAAGCTAAGATTGATTTACAAATATAATTATATATAAGATTGGTTTTCATTGTAGAACCATGCATTTAATTGCAGCCGTAAAACCTGCACAGGACCCCCATGTAGGCTAATTCCCAGAATGGGCAATTCTCAAAATGCAAAGAGAACTATGTTTCCAAATGGAACATTGTCATGGATAGAATCATATTTATTTTTAACATGATATGAACAGTTGGTTCGTTGTTTAAATTATTTTCATGTCAATGAAACTTTTAATGAACGAAGGTTCTCTATGGATACTTGATTGGAATATTACTATAAAGACTATTATTTTTTTATGGATGATTAATTATGCTAATTTATTCACAAATTTACGTTGTAGTAATTGTTTTTCATTGAATTAATTGATAATGACTACACGTCAACCTGCTCTCTCCTACGTGGACTTAGAAAGTGACTATTGTTACATCCAGTCGTGGAATTCGTAATGACTTGTTTAGGGTAAGTTGGGTATGGCCATGTCTTACATTTTGTTGAGTAGAGCTGTCTTTGTGCTTAGTTTAAGGGTTTTGAACAGTTCTTTACAGTACGAAATAAAGTATATGCAAAGCCTTCTGTAAATATCAAAAATTTATTTAAAATTACGGCTGCCTTAACTCTATCCTATGTCTTATATTATATTGAAATATGGCTGTATTTGTGAGAGAATATGACACAGTAATAAATCGAGATAAGGTCAGACTAACAGCGGCACCCCGGGGGACATCAGGATTATTTCAAATCAACAATAGAAACACTTATAATGATGGTAATCTATGACAAATTAGAGCTAATGAGCAAGTGAGTACAGTTCAAAAGACTACTATATTGAAAATTGCTAGAGCACCTGCGATCAACTGGATGGTGGTAGATTCCCACCGCTCAAAACGACTACGAGTTTTGTTAGAGATTAACTGTTTCTGGCATTATCAGATTAATCTTCTAATTTTATCTTTCCTTGATGCAAGGGCCACTATGAATTTGAGTCAAATGTTTTGTGGTCCTGTGGACTGATGTCAGATTTGCAGTTGTTGCCATTCTTGTCAACTGAATCCAGCGTTTGATCAGATGCAACCAGTCTTTAGAAGCTATTGATAATTCAGATGAAGGTCGATCTGAGCACCCCTTTTATGGTGGTCAAGTAGGGGCCTATACATATTCAAACTTTTGTTACTGTCTGACATTATGCAAGTCACTCGGTTTACCATAAAGTGGATAGATATCGTAGCAGGCTTACATAGTATAAAAAAAAGAATCGAATCGAAGCGTACGCAAGCTGATACTGTAGAGAGTTCTGATTTGCTGTATTCGCTGGCGTGCAATCCTATCAAATTGCTGCATTTGCCATTTACCATCTTCAATAATACAAGAAATGTGGCTATTATAATCAAGGTATAAGACGAAGTTCACAATTATTAGCTTGACTTTGTGAGATGACTATGTCAATATTGTAATATGTATAGTATTCAGTCATTAGACAAGACAAACCGATATCGTGTAGTAGTTTCGGACTACATTCTAACATGATTAGGCTATAGGCTAATTGACCTAATTAAATTGATGTATGACTTTTGGTAAAGTTGATATTAAAGTATATAAATAATTATGGTATATAACAGACTTTGGTAATTACAGGTTTTGTAGTTTCCATGGTAACTTATGAAATGTTACGTGTGGTTATAGCTATGTAATAAGGTAATCTTAATTTACTTATTCCATCAAAGTACCCAGAAATGAAAACGGGTCTTTTTAACCCATGATGGGCATATTTTTCATATTCTGTACCCTCGCCAGAATAATCCCCTATTTATAATTATACACAAACTCGAGAAGAATTTTTGATGATGTGAGATCGACATCGAAAGGAATCTTTCCACAAAAAGTCTTGGAGGAACTAAGAAAATGGTATAATTTGGAATCACCATGACGGTTGATGACTTTTGTCTAAAATTCGTGAGAATCCATGCATGGACGATAGAAAGGATATGTTGAGGAACGGTTTCTTCAATCAAAGTTTAAGAACATTAAGATATTCCATAAAAAAAACTTGGCCAACGGATCCATAATAGGCTTGCCACCATAGATAACCTTTGAGCTAAAATAGTTATCTCATTGTACGAACAGGTAGCCTAATTTGAAATTGAGTCATGAAATTGCCACAGTTGGCAATATTCTTTGCATCTGTTTTAGTTGATCAGTATTCGGAATATTAACCAGGTAAAATATCACTCCAACAACCTTAAGCAGTGGTAAAATTTAACTTAAAATAATCAAATTTTGCACATTTTCTGCCAATGTAGTTTTCAAAAAATGTTTTTTCAAAGTTTTTGTTATTTTATGAAATTTCTGAACTATCACCTATCGATTCTAACCAAGACTATATAATAGCAACAGGTTCTTGAGCCTACTCCAAGAAATTATATTACGGAAAGAATACGGCATATGTATTATATCAAATGAATAAATTACATACACTATTGCATAGTAAATGAACTGGTCATCTTGAAAGGGTTAAAATTCACATCTGACGTCACCATATCATGTGACTACCTTGAACTTTAAACTTTGACCTCATCTCTCCAATCAGCTGTAGATGTAAACACTGATGGCTGTGAAATTGTACACTCGTATCTTCGTGGTTGTTTCTCAACGATAATTAAACTCTTAAGACTGTTAGATTTATGCTGTGTTGTTTAACAAACCTTTGTCTTTTTAAATATTGAGATCTGGCTCATATCGACGTTTTCTATGTGTGAGTAAGTCGCGAGAATGAATGGAAAATGAGGTAAGTGATCTCAATGTGAACTGTCTTTGTAATGCACTAATGGCTATTTTAAGCAACAAGCAGCTCGTTACTTATATCTCAATAGATACATCTTTCTATCGTCTGTTGTCAAAGTTGAGATAAAGCATTCTAATCAGTAGACATCTTTATTTCAAATTATATTTCTCAATTGTTCAGATTCATTCTGATGGTTAGAGCCTATTGATTAAAATGTTAAAACCTAGGTAAGTCCTGTATTGACTCTAGTGTATATGTATTAATGATGTAGTTCTCTATAGTCACACAAAGTCTTTGTTTGGTGACACATTTGTTAGATATATTTGTTTTTCACAAACTTATGTTTAGACCATGTTTTTATGAGAAAAAATTATATGTACCGGGTATGTCAAAATTGATATATAATTGATAGTAGAGGCTCACTCAAGTTGCCAACAAGCTGAGGCCTATTGCCAGATACAACAAAACAATTTCTAACATGTATATGAATTAAGGAAATTTGAATAGTTATTCATTGATGGTGAGGATCTTGATCTACAAGCTGTTCAATTTTCCCTAAACTGTTCATAGAGCTCCTTTTCAATTTGTTCTTATATGTTAATAGAGTCAAACTCTATAGAACAGTTTGTACCCCTCTATAGAACAGTTTGTTCCCCTCTACAGAACAGTTTGTTCCCCTCTATAGAACAGTTTGTTCCCCTCTACAGAACAGTTTGTACCCCTCTACAGAACAGTTTGTTACCATCTACAGAACAGTTTGTACCCCTCTATAGAACAGTTTGTACCCCTCTATAGAACAGTTTGTACCCCTCTACAGAACAGTTTGTAGCCCTCTATAGAACAGTTTGTCCCCTTCTACAGAACAGTTTGTACCCCTCTACAGAACAGTTTGTAGCCCTCTATAGAACAGTTTGTCCCCTTCTACAGAACAGTTTGTACCCCTCTAAGAATATTTTGTCCCCTTCTACAAAACAGTTTGTACCCCTCTACAGAACAGTTTGTACCCCTCTATAGAATAGTTTGTAGCCCTCTACAGAACAGTTTGTACCCCTCTAAGAATAGTTTGTCCCCTTCTACAGAACAGTTTGTTCACCTCTACAGAACAGTTTGTCCCCTTCTGCAGAACAGTTCGTCCCCTTCTACAGAACAGTTTGTTCCCCTTCTACAGAACAGTTTGTTCCCCTCTATAGAATAGTTTGTTCCCCTCTATAGAATAGTTTGTCCCCTTCTACAGAACAGTTTGTTCCTCTCTACAGAACAGTTTGTTACCCTCTACAGAACAGTTTGTACCCCTATTCAGAACAGTTTGTACCCCTCTATAGAACAGTTTGTTCCCCTCTATAGAAAAGTTTGTGCCCCTCTACAGAACAGTTTGTTACCCTCTATAGAACAGTTTGTTACCCTCTATAGAATAGTTTGTACCCCTCTACAGAACAGTTTGTTCCCCTCTATAGAACAGTTTGTACAATTTGTATATTGAATTAGATATGTACCACCAGATGAATACTTGTAGTAATTATTCTTAAGACACATGAGTTAATTATAAGATCTGATTACCTAATATGGATTAATATTACTTCAAGATTATAGATCTATCCTTATTTGATCTTTCCTAATTATAAGGACTGGTTTATACTTGTAAATTAGTAAATTGTTTATTAAACACTTTTATTGCCACTTATCTCTGTTAAAACTTTGGTAAACTGTTCATATTAATGTTTTACTAGTCCTTAGACATGTATAGATACACCTTCACAATGTCAATCTATTACGAACTATGGATTATACCTTGAGTTGTTTGTCCCCGAGTTTATTTAAAACCATTGCAAAAATATCATTTTTATACATTTTCCTTCCTTTAGCACCAAATCAATTCTATTATTCAAATATTTTCTAGGGGTGAACCTTCTCAGACACTCAATGGGAGCTTGTGCCATGAACCACAGAGCTGTCACATTTTGAATTAACATTAACGGTTGTTCCCCCATTATGTCAATCTGTCATCTATTTATAATCTCTGTCTCGGGAGGCTGATGCTGCCACTGGAATGACAGGTGTGGTGCCAAGTAGGGTATGCTTACTCTTCTAGATATCTGATACCACTTTTCATTATGAAATACTTACTCACTTATATATACTTCCATGTGAAAAGTTCATTAACTGCTACCAATGTTTCACCAATATGTTGTTCGTGGATTTCGGGTTTCATTTTGAGGTTTGGATCATTAGTACTTATATAATATATCAATGTTAGAGAACTGGTAAAGACCATGAAATTGTTTTTTAGGACTCAATGATATCATGTTTTATATAATGTATTTAGCTGTCAGTGTTATAGTAATTATGTCAGTAGAACAACATGATAAGATAAATAATACAATGACATTCGAACTAAAAATTAAACCAATGATAAAATATTCTGAAATAAATAGATTATCTATCTGAAACTAGTTTTTATTCTTATCTCTAAAAGAATTGTAAAAAAAGATCAAAGATATCTGCTTTTGTTGAAATGGTAGGAAAATAAGATTTAATTAAGGGATGTAGTCAACTTAAAGGGACAGGTTGGCAATTCATTTCACCAATTGTACCTTAGTCTCAGAAACAGGATTTTCATATTAAAACATATCAGTAATAGTGATCACAACTTACTGTCGAATTGAGCCTTCGATATTCTTGTGCGTCCAGAATTATCCGTGTTTGAAAGTGAAGTGACCGCTTGTCTATTCTTGAGACTTTGCCATATACAGAAAAAGAAAGTGAAATTCCTAGTTTGAGGTATTTTTGAAGGAATTATGTGATTTTTGTACATTTCAAGTTTCCTGAAGATTATTTTCATATTTTCAAGACCCAAATCAACCCCAGTAAATGGCGAATCAGCTGATACAGCTCAATCTCAGCTATGTGTACCACTTTGCTGAATTTAAATCTTACACCTGGTTGCCTTGCGATTAAACAACAATGTACCCAGTTTAAAATTTCATTAATGTCACAGACAGTACAGGTGTTTTATTCTCAACTAAAAATGGTATAAATTTATTCCCTCTTATTCAAAAGAAGTTCAAGATATGATAGTTGTACGTAACCTTGCATGTTAGTTATTAATATTCATATGATTTCTAAGAAATGTAATAAGACTATATTTTTTATTGTTGAAATTGTAATTTAATAGCTATTTATGAGAAAATATTTCATTTAAGTTGGATATTATCTTTAATGTAAAACTTTGATTTGAAAGACAAGTTGTAGACTGAGAATTTTTGTAAATGTTCAAGATTTAACATGTTAAAATAGGTTATATGTAGGCTTCCAGTATTCAGATTATTTCCTCAGCTTTCAGTGTTGAGTTTTTCTTCCTCTTTTCTGAAGAGTTTTTGAACCAAAGACATTTCTAGTATAGGTTAAATCAGATGGAGTGGACAGATCAGATATAGGTTATCTAATGCGGATCTTGGGAACTGGCCCGGTTTTGGCCTCCAAAGTTTCAAATTTCTTGTCATTGAGTTCTTTGCTGCCTGGTGCTGTTTGCTTCCATATACAGTGAACTACCAGAATCAACTGATCCTGTGGACATGGTTCAGGCAAATTAAAGCTACCATTCATTGCCTTGATATGTTGCAGATCTCTTGTGGAATTTTCAAGATAGACTATTTGTAGGGATATATGAGAACTCTTGAATCACATGTTTTTATCCCCCTCATGAATATTTCATGAGCAATATTTAGATTATATTGTGAGTATTATTGAAAACCTGTTTTGTATAATGAAAGTTATTGATAAGAGAAGTTATGTAATGGAGTAGAGATTAAAGCTAGACCAATATTATTATGGTATCTTAGTTAGATGTATGTGAATCAGACCATAAAGAGTATTTTTAGCTTTCATATCAAAATAAATTTATGTTTGTGTTTGTGTTTGTCCTTTATCACACAAAGACATTTGACGAAAGGGAAGTGAAATATCTAGTGTGGAAAGTTTCGATTATTTTAGAATAATTTTAATGTTTGATTTGTTGAAACAATGGTGTGGATTATCAATTTATATTATGATGCAGGTATTATTAAGATAAATATATTATTTCTATTGTTTTATTTTGTATTCTGTTTTCTTATCTTTGTCCTCTAAAAGACGTAGAGTGCTTTTCATACAAAGGAAGAAAATATTTTTAGGAAAAAGGCACAAATTTATCATTTTGAATCATACGTGGATTTGTTAACAGACACATCCAGTAGATTTAGATGTGAACTTGTCACAAGGCTTCAGATGATTTGATTGACTGACTAGACAGAATGAGGGTAGAAAATCTGAAAATATCATGATCTATAATTCACATCAAAGTTTTCACAGTTGAAAATTTGCCATCTTTCAATTTAGTTTTTATTCTTTTTTTCAGAAATATTTTTTTTATGTTACATAATATTTCTGAGTATATCTATTTTGGATATCTATGACTAAGTTTTCAATTAGTGTTATTCATATAATTGTTATGTTGTATTTATTAGTCTCAGGAGATGTTATAGCAGTGATATGTACTAGTCTACAAATCAATATTACATGTTTCTCTTACTCTTTAATTCATATAACTTCATACTCTTAGAAACCACAGCACTTAGTTAAATTATATTTCATAGTTTTGTTTCTATGTACAGGAATGGGGGAGGGGGGCAAAAATGAGGTGTCTTGCCTTAAGCAAGTGCCGAAGCCCCTCAAGGCCAGGGGGCTGATTTGCATCATTCGATTTTGTCAGTCAGGTTTGTAGGACCTTACTGAAATTTGGAATGGTGCAAATCGATGCCATAGTATCTCCAAGCGCTGTTGGAGAGAATAATTCGATCTCAAGCTAATGATTTTGACCTATAAAGAAGTAGTGTGCGAAGCAGACCATGCTTAGTCTTTTAGAAACACCTGATGACCCACTACCATACAACTTTTACTCTCTATTTTGACATGCTTTTTGAGATTTTGATTAACAGAATTAAATAGATCTTACTTGTAAGGATTTTTACAATCTGTATATTTGTATATATTTCAGTGACTAAATGATTGTAGTGGCAGTAAAACGTAAAGACAATATGCCGGATTCCGGCAGTGGAAGTTGGGTGGTCGTCATAGCAGCCTTCTTTTCACAATTTATAATATGTGGTATTACCTACAGTCTTGGTGTTTTCCATGTTGTATTTAAAGATATTTTCAATGAATCACATTTCAACGCATCATGGACCGGATCTATTTTACTCTACGTCACAGCTCTCTCAAGTAAGTAATGTTATATCAAAGTTATATCTTACAGAATCTAATGCCAAATTGATTTGATAAGCTCCTGCATGATCTAAAACAACATACAAAATTTTGAAATTATAAGAATTATATCATATTAAAAGGAACATCCTGCAGAGTTTACGGGCTAATAGATTTTATTGGAACCTGCATAACGAGACCAAAAATTGGAGAAATGAGAGCCATAGTATGAAGGATTGAAAATGAAGGGAAATTGATTCCTTTTATTACTATGACCTATAGAAGCCTAGATTCTGTAGTAAAGGTATTCAGAATTCAGTATACTGAATTCAGAGGGTAAGCGCTGGAATAGGCAATATTTATTTTTCTAGATACGGGTATTGAGGATAAGAAGAGTACACAATATATTGACAATTATATAGTATATATGTATGTTATTTTCAGGCATTATGTTGAGATTTGTCACAAGTTATTGGGGATGTCGTGTTAGTGTTATGTTGGGAGGTTTAATAGCAGCTGCAGGACTATCTCTTGGTATGGTAGTCACTGAGTTATATCAGGTCTATTTAACTTACGGGGTTTTAACTGGTATGTATAGTCATGTATTAACTTTTTCTATTTTTTTTCTGTATTAATCATCCTATACAGTACACTATGTACTCACGGCTTTATAGTATAGAAGTGTGTACAATATAAATAACACACAGTGTAACATCACGATCCTTGTAAGACATTTAGAAGTATCGCAGCACATTAAGAAACAACAGTTTTCTGGATATTAACTTCTATTTATTATTAAACACAATGTTACATTACACATACATGTAAGCTGTTAGGTTTTTTTCTGATATATATAAGGAATATATTTTTTATGGTTAATAATCATTTGAGAACGTTACCTGTATGTGTAATGAAACGTATTTAAATAATAAATAGAAGTTTATATCCGAAACACTGTTGTTTCTTAGTGTAACATCATATTGATATTTATTATGTGTTGATTTTAATAAAAAAGATTCAATTACATGTATTTCTTTACAGGTATTGGTTTTGGGTTGGCATGTTCTCCTTCAATAGTAGCGGTAGAGAAATCATTTTCTAGGGGTAGAGTTAGTGCCCTTAGTGTGGTTGTAGGTGGCGTTGGAGCTGGTATAATTACATTCCCTGTTATTATCAGATATTTACTAGAAGAGTTTGCGTGGAGAGGAACATTATTAATTCTGGCAGGAATTGTATTAAATCTGTGTGTTTGTGGTGCGTTAATGAAACCGTCGCCAGAAGATAAAGAAGTTCGTTTGTTACCTCTGATGTCATGTTTACCTCTACGACATCCTCTATTTCTGGGACTCTGTATCGCAAACCTTTTCTGGAGTTTTGGATCCACAGTAATTTACATGTTCTTGCCCTCGTATGCAATGTCAACAGATACTAGTTTTGAGAGTGCCATCTTCCTTGTGTCATGTGTTGGAATGGCAAGCTTCACAAGTCGTATGATATTCGCCTTTATGGGACATGACAGTACATTAGACTCAATAACTTCCATTATATTTCCTATTGGAATAGGAATCGTAGTCACAGGAATTTTCCCACTGTTATTTAAAGACTTTGCAGGTCAAATCGGATATACCTTACTGTTTGGTTTCTATACTGGGTTTTGGACCACGTTTTTATCTCAAGTATCAAGAGAATTATTAGGACCTGAGTATATAGCATTAGGAAATGGATATTTAATGTTCATGATAGCTATAGGATCTTTGATGGCTGGTCCAGCTACAGGTGAGGACTATTTTTTTTCAAAGAAAGTTAAGCTAATACAGATTGAAACCAAGTTGTCAATTTAAATCTTGCTGTGCTTATGGCAACTAACAATATTGGGCAAATTTGTTGAAACTTTTTTTTTCGCTTTGATTTTACTCTTTTAGCAACATGCAGTGTATCACATGATCCATATTATAATGGATATAGTTGGCCTCACACGATAGCATTCACCAGTTGCATATGGTTGTGAATAAGAAGACCAGTCATAAGTTTCACACATAACACTCTTGCAACTGACTTGTAAGATGTGTTCTGAACTCATGGCCACTTTCAATATCACAATCATATACAACTGGTAATTGCTTTGGTGTGAGGGCATCTTTAATGAAATTAAATTTGCTTTTTCTTATTCCTTTTTCTACAGTTTACATTTCTATTTTCAGCTATGCTAGTCCAAGAGGAAGATGACTTTAAGTATGCTTTTTACCTGGCAGGTAAGTTAAAAATGAATTGAATTTGAAAAAAAATTGAATGGGTTGGTGCCAATTAAGTATAGTCAGTATAGATTGTTTGACAAACTTTGAAATTTCCAATTCCAATTGATTGTTCATGTATTTATTTCATTCTCAGAGCTACCCTACAAATGGGATGTGATCAATTTGGGTCTTTCAAATGGATTTCTTTTTAAACAGAACCTGACACATGTTGTTACTTGTAGAATCTTCAGACAACCTATTTCAGCCTACCTCCCAACTGAATATTTCTATATCACTCTACAATTGATGTATTGAGCACTAATTTAATAGTGGTATTTCTATATCGCTCTACAATTGATGTATTGAGCACTATTTTAGTGGTATTTCTATATCGCACTACAATTGATGTATTGAGCACTATTTTAACAGTAGTATTTCTATATAGCTCTACAATTGATGTATTGAGCACTATTTTAGTGGTATTTCTATATCACTCTATAATTGATGTATTGAGCACTATTTTAACAGTGGTATTTCTATATCGCTCTATAATTGATGTATTGAGCACTATTTTAGTGGTATTTCTATATCACTCTATAATTGATGTATTGAGCACTATTTTAACAGTGGTATTTCTATATCGCTCTATAATTGATGTATTGAGCACTATTTTAGTGGTATTTCTATATCACTCTACAATTGATGTATTGAGCACTAATTTAATAGTGGTAGTTCTATATTGCTCTACAATTGATGTATTGAGCACTATTTTAACAGTGGTATTTCTATATCGCACTACAATTGATGAATTGAGAACTATTTTAACAGTGGTATTTCTAAATCGCACTACAATTCATGTATTGAGCACTATTTTAACAGTGGTATTTCTATATCACTCTACTATTGATGTATTGAGCACTGTTTTAACAGTGGTATTTCTATATTGCTCTACAATTGATGTATTGAGCACTATTTTAACAGTGGTATTTCTATATCACTCTACAATTGATGTATTGAGCACTATCTTAACAGTTGTATTTCTCTTTTGCTCTACAATTGATGTATTGAGCACTATTTTAACAGTGGTATTTCTCTTTTGCTCTACAATTAATGTATTGAGCACTATTGTAACAGTGGTAGTTCTATATTGCTCAACAATTGATATATTGAGCACTATTTTAACAGTGGTATTTCTATATCGCTCTACAATTGATGTATTGAGCACTATTTTAACTGTGCTATTTCTCTATTGCTCAACAATTGATATATTGAGCACTATTTTAACAGTGGTATTTCTATATCGCTCTACAATTGATGTATTGAGCACTATTTTAACAGTGGTATTTCTATATCGCTCTACAATTGATGTATTGGGCACTATTTTAACAGTGGTATTTCTATATTGCTCTACAATTGATGTATTGAGCACTATTTTAACAGTGGTATTTCTGTATTACTCTACAATTGATGTATTGAGCACTATTTTAACAGTGGTATTTCTCTATTGCTCTACAATTGATGTATTGAGCACTATTTTAATTGTGGTATTTCTATATATCTCTATAATTGATGTATTGAGCACTATTTTAACAGTGGTATTTCTATATATCTCTATAATTGATGTATTGAGCACTATTTTAACAGTGGTATTTCTCTATTGCTCTACAATTGATGTATTGAGCACTATTCTACCATTGAGCCCTATTTAGTTTTTTTCTAACTATGTATTTTCTATCTATAGGAGCATGTTTATTATGGAGTTCAGTGATAATGGTACTATTTAAATTTAAAAAGTGTATAGTAATTGATAAACCAGAAGTAAAATCACAGGAGACTAAACAACCGTTAATAGAAGGAGAGGTTGTACCAGAGAAAGAGAAGAATAGTCAATGGTATGATGATGGTATCTTCGTGTAGGTGTTGTCTTTTTTAGTTTCCTTATTTCTGTTAATTTCTGTTGAATATTTCTGTATATAATTGAATTATTGTCTAACAAAAATTAAATTGAAAATTTTGTACCTCATTTGATCAAAACTTGAGCATTCTTTATATTGTTTTGGGCATGATCACTTTGATACTTAAGGCATTTCTGCACTTTTCTGTATATCTTATCTGTAATTGGGAACTATTTGGAACTAATTCTATATAATTTCTGTGTGTAAATCTTTATCTATCATTCAATATTGTATTCTGATATGGTTACTGTATTGTATAAAATTATTATATTTTCTGTAAAGTTCAATATTTCAAGGCTCGTTATTCTATAGCATCAATTCTGGAACTTAAGATGATTGTTAAAGTGATTGTGAAGAGGTTTTCAAATTTATTATGTGTGTTTAGGACACTGATAGCATCAATTTGGACCATTCCAATTTTCAGTCAGATGTCTATGATTACTGCAATTCCACAAAATATAAGTGTTTGATGATGTCACAAATTGCAAAATACTGCAAAAGGCTCTTCGTGATTAGTGACATTATCAAATATTTAGTTTTAGTGGAATTGCAGTAACCACAGACATCTGATTGAAAATTGGAATGGTGGATATTGATGTTATCATTGTCCCAAATACACATACAAAATTTAGAAAACCGCTTTACAATTCCTCTTTACAAGTTCATGTACTAACACATCAGAGTCATTGAATAGTTTCAAGAAGAAGTAGAATACTAATTGTTTTGTGTTATTATAGTTATAGTCTTTAACACAACCTACATATACTACTTGTGACTGTACTCTAATTTAATGCCTTGACAGTCAGATATCAAAAAGAGTAGGTTAATGCCACTGTCCTGGCAAAATTTCCCTCATTGCACACTGCATGTTATAGCCCATTAGGTGCAGAAGAGAGGAACGTAAAACTTCATTTATCATGTACTCTTATCAATGATCATTCCTCACAGATTAGTTCATAGCACTGCTGTCTGGCTTAGAATAAAATATTCAGCACTGTTTCCTTTCATCTCAACAAAATCTGAAAAGATATTATTAACTGGTTTTTTTTTCTAAACTTTTGATGTGTATTGGGATACTGATAAGCATCAATTGGCACCATTTCAGAATTTTCAAGAAGGAAATTAAACCTTTTAAGTAATTTCAATTGGCTATACATTCTAATTGAAAAAAATTTTCAGATCCTCAGAGAAATATTAGTTAGATATGTTGATTGTGAATATAGTAATCCTATAACAAACTAGTTTTTTTATAGTCTCTGTAGATATTTACTAACCTAGCACCTTCTATTAACAGGGAGGCTGTCATTACATCAGTATAGAATAGTGGAATGGTATGGGATGAGTGAAGAATTACCAGGGTAGTATTGATAGTGGTGATTAGTAAGAGTGGTATAGTAGCTTGTTAGATCAACTGATCATGTGGGATTTAAGCAATTTTGTGATGTCATGCTCAAATCTGGATTATACAAATATTGTTGAGGAAATATATATTTTGCACATTTGAACCCAGTTCAAAACATGAACATAAGTCCATTTTATTTTGGGTGGAATAAATACAGCCCCATCGCCAGGAATCAATTGGTGCTGGTGCTTAGATTTTGTACTCAGAAAATTTGAAGAATTAAAGGCTGAGAGATCTTATTTCTGACTATTTGAGGTGTTAAAAACGTACCAAAATATATATCTTTTTGATTTTGTACAAAGACACTGTAGATGAATCATTCTCTGCTGAACTGAAGAATGTTTTGCTGGGGCTTAATTCTCACTTGCTGGCGCCCAGCCCCCACGAACCTCAGCCTAACGACGGGGCTGAATAAATAGAAATTGAAAATTGAAAAGTGTTGCTGTCCATTACTACTTTCACTTCGTGTTCATGTTTTAAATTGGGATCAATATGTTCAAAAATAACTTTGCTAGACTAAACCTCCATTTTAACCTAATTGATAGGTTAGCTGTTACAGCATCTGGGATACTTATTGTTTCTATTTTGTATTTATTTGTAGTTTTTGTAAATTTTTATTGAGAAATCGTGCTTAAAATAGAGTTTGACATCACAATGACTAGCTTTGAAGGGATGGAAATGTTTTGAAAATAAAGTATTATATGTGTATTGCTCATTTAGTTATATATATTTGGTTACCCTGACAAATCTAACACTGCCTGTTTCTTAGACATGATATATGGATGAGATATTGGCACATTTAGAGTCAAGACATAAAACATCACTTCTTATCGGACCCAAAAGTTGGTTGAAGGAACTCCCATAAAAATTGACCTATATTCCATTCGTATATCAGGTCTGGGGGAACGGCTAGGGCTAGATTTGTTGGGCTATTATTTGGCATGATATGAAATGATAAGCTATGTAGTGGTCACTGGTCATAATAACATGGAATTTGACTTTCTAATGTCCAGAAGTTTAATTGTGTGATGTTTGAGAATCGTGGGTTTTTATCAGGAACATCCTAACTTAAATGTTCCTCAAACTATATGAGATTATACTGAGGGATAAATCATTATTAAAACCAAACAGTTGCTAGGAGTAATCGATAATTAAAAGAATTTTTAGGTTTATGGCAATGAGTATCCAATTTAAACATGTGTATATTAGATAATACATTGGCTATTTGGATTATTTAAACCTCTCAGTATAGATTTACACAAATTGATGAAAGGTTCAGATATTGTTAAATAATTCCAATTTTCAATACTGTATATATGTATGTATAGTACACAGTTTTTTTTAAGGAATTTGTCAAAATACTTATATCCTAGAGAGTAACATATTGTTTATTAAAGGAATACTAACTCTTAGAATGGACATACATTTTAAGGCTCAAACTTGGTCAATACGAGTATTTATACATGCTGGACTTGCCAGGTGCCATGACTAAGGAATATAATCTCTATATAACAATATATCCTTTAAACTAAATAATTATTTAATAAAAATTTAATGGATTATTGCCTAATTTTATGGATTTATTGGATTATAGGGGGGTTCTTTGGTATAGCTTTGACACCTACATGTCCAGTGAGGAATAAAGACTGAAGTTTAAAAATTTCAATTTTGTTGGTCATCCTAACAGGTAGTATACCTTTAAGTTTCTTTTATCTCATTTGCCTGATATTAATATAGTGTGTAGAATGTTAAAAAATTATAATAATTTGGTTTTGAAATTTAATGTTCAATATTATGATAGAAAAACATTAGACCTACATAATAACATAGCTACGTAGATCTAATGTGTATAATTTATAAAGTATTTGTGATATAAAGATGATCTATATTTATTTACCTGTACATAGTTTATATTACACAGTGTCATCAAGTCTTATAGTATATTTTTACTATTACATCTAACTTTCAGTTTGCCAAGGGAAAGAGAAAATTTTGAAGGCAGAACTGAATCTGGTCCAGCTTTGAGCCAGACATTTTGAAATTTCTAACCATATATAGAGGGAAATAATTGCCTATGAATTGCATCTTGACAATTCTGTGGCCTTTACTCCGCCATATTATCTAATTATTCATAGAAACACAACTATAATGGGTTAATATTAACAAATATTTACAAAGAAAACTACAAAGAAGTTAGATGAAGCATGAAATTATTGTCATACTCTGCTGACTATCCATAAGGTTATTTTTTAGTTTTGAAGCAGAAATTCGAAAGCAAACTGAGTAGCAATGTTGGTTTTTAATCAAAAGATTATGGTAAACAAAATTTTCTAAAAAATATCTTCAGCAGGCCTTATAATTCACTTATTAAGAGAATCCATGACTTGATCTATAAACCTTTCTCAATCAATTTTCAGTCATAAAACTAAAACTGTTGCTTCTTCTTTTTGTTTGGTACAAAAGATCTTTTTACAGTTCATGTAAGGGATACTGAAAGTTCCTAGTTGTACCATTCAAAGTCTCATTGCTGGTTCCTGTAGTTCCAGAAAGTCTTCAAGTCAAGTAGAATTCGCCCTATTGATATCATAGTCTGGTCAAGTTTCTCTGGAATTACAGGAACTGAAAATGTCAAATTGGAATAAAGTAGAGTATTACTTCTACTAATTTTCAGAATGATGGCATTGAAATATCATAAAATACTCAAAGTTAAAAGAATTGAGTCTAGAAGTTGTTTTTAGTGGCTTTGTTTCTAAATAAATTTGAGAGCATGATGGTAAAATAGAATCTGTATTTTCTGTGATACCAGCCCAGCGTTACAGTTTTCTCTAATAATAGTAATATAGTTGATTATATTTGAATACTAATTACTATGTATTTGTAAATATTTGTGCCAATAGTTATTGATCAATGCAATTTTAAAACAGTGTTTTTTTAAGTATTATATTATAGTGTACTGTTATTATTTTAATACTTATCATTATAATATTGTCTCTTTATTATAAAGGTATTTACTCTACCAGAATTATTTAATACGCGGTTATTCAAAACAAAAAAAATATCTGGTCCTCGGGCCATAGCTAAGGAATACGTCCCCCCCCCCTCACCTCCCATCCCCCACAAGTGAATTACTTGTTGAGTCACAGAGTTGAGCCCCCCTTCATAAATTCAATTTCTTTTCAAACTAATGTACAAATACAATCAGGCTTGACTTAGCCTTCATTGATAATTTTCTTATTTTAAGAATGACTAGAAAAAAGGTTGAAATATATCAAGGTCATGTGATAATTAATCTGTTTCAATGAAAATTAAAATTTGTTATTAGGTATTTGTTAATCACATGCAGTAGAATATTCTGTGGTTATTCAGAATTTTTCTCTTCCTATAATCTGGACATTATTTAAATTTTATTGCTGCATTTAATTGTAAATAGTTTATTGTAAAGAAACTAATAAAACTTTAAGAAAAATGTTTTTGTGTATTTTTTACTGGAGACTTTAGTAGCTTTTGAGAATTGTGCGTCTGTCACCAAAATGGTCAAATCAGCAAAGACTCTTTTCGTGAAATGATAAAAAAAATAAATTCACTGTGGTAGGAGAGTACAATTATAAGAGAATATCAAAGGTTATTCACTGAGCTAGATACCTGTGAGCAAGTTTTCTTGGACAAATTATTTGTTGTCTGAAGTAGCAAATTTAAGCGTAATACGGTTCAAGGGAAGTAACCCCATTTAACGGTACCTGAACATCCGGGTTTTCTATGTTAATTAATTATTTACAGGAACCATTTGCAGGAAATCTGTGAAAAAGTAAATATAAGAAGTATAAAAGTATTGTTAGCCAGAATAAATTTAAAAAGGTATGCTTTTATCCAAATATTTGTGGCCACTGTAATAAGAGTGACAGATTTTGCGATTATTCCTACTGTATACTCATTGCTAGTATCACTTATATTATTAGCCCTACGAGAGACGTCAATGAAGGGGTGGGTGAATAATCGAATCGAATATTTGCAAAATTGAACAGTTCGCTTTATTTTATTAATTTATATTTAATGAACATTTTGTAAGTCTTTTTTGTACGTTTGCTATTACCAATTACTCTAGGCTACATTATCTCTTATATTTCTATTGGCAAGACTAGACAGTATTAGGCCTAGAACTACTACTAGGTTTGATTAGAACTAGTAGACCTACTTGTATTAAGAAGGGCAATACCATACACAATGAGGGAAATTTCGCATTAGCTTACTCTTTTTCAATAACCAACTTTTGAGGGATTAGTGCAAAAAATCCAAAGGCCAAACTGCCAAAGGTATTATCTCGACCTGTGCCAGGATTGAACCTTGGACCTCAAAGTGCACAGTACGTTCTGACAATATGGCACTATGTTTTATGTTTTTATCTTACAGGAAATATTAAAAGAGTAATATGGATACAATAATAATGGAAAGCTCTGTGATAGTAATGAGATAAGATGTGCCCAGAAAGTCTTGGTAGGCTTACTTTAAACCGTCACCACGCCTACCAACGTCAAAATTAAACAAAACTTCAACATGTTGATCAATCGTAAGACAAGTTTTAAAGATAGCATGCCGATAGCGGACTACGGGGCCGATGACAACATGATGGATAATCCTGATATAGATTGGGTGAATAAACAGTCGGTCCGCTATCTCTTTCATTTCTGTGCCATGATGAGCATGCTATCTGTCAGTATGAACACCCCCAAGACGTTTGAACTACTACCAGCGTTGATGTACGTCACCTTTACCATAGATATGGTCATCACATTCATCTTTACTGCGGAGATGATTGCCAAGATGCATATCAGAGGAGCTTGGAAAAATAGATATCGGGTATGTATATAGATCTAAAATAGCCTGTAATATAGATTTAATTTTACAAATGATAAAACTGGTTTTTTTTAATTATTCATTTGATTGTCTGTAGATAGTCTTAGTTGTACTGCAAACATATTGACCCATACTGTTTTTATCAAAAAAGCATCTAATCGTTTGAAATGAGGCCAAAAAAATATTGTTTTAGCAGTTGCAGTATGGGTGTCTAGGCAAAATTTCCCGCATTGCAAACAGCATTATGCTGCCTGTCTCATAAGCCCATTCAGTTGCAGAGAAGTAAAATATAACACTCCATTCATTTGATTTTTGGTCTATAATCTTACAGTTGAGTATATATATTTCAGAGTGAAGCCCCGTACCTCCGAGATAGATGGTGTCAGTTTGATGGAGTAATGGTTTTATTTCTGTGGACATCAGTTGTTTTACAGGTCAGTATTATTAATTTTATTATATTAGAGGGGGCAGAGCCTAGAGAGTAATTGTGGGTCTGGCTGTAGCACAGATTAGAGGTTAGAGTGTCAGAATCTTAACATTTGGTCATTTGCTTGATTATGTTGAACAACTGGTAAATGTGGGTTCTAATCTCAGTGTGTGAAAGTCTGGTGACTTTGAATAAACCAGGTTTCCTCATTATTCCAGTCGATCCAGCTGTGGCTGAAGGTGATTGCTATATAAAAGTGATCACTTGAACAGGATTCACTGTACATAGTTTATTTATTTTAACAGGTATTTGAAATAACCAATAGAATACCACCCAATTCTCCAGGATCAGCATTACGTATCTTACGATCACCTCGACCACTACTTATTGTCAGAGTCTTTAGAGTCTTCCTCAAATTTGAACTGCCACGAAACAGAATCAATCAGATCTTCAAGTAAGTGACCAGTAGGACTAGATATTCTTTATGTTTCCTGTGTGTAAATTGTTATGGATCTCCTGTTTTGTGTCATTTAATAATATACCAATCAAAATAAAGGTCTATTCAATAAATCTTGTCCTTACTATGTGTGATGTATTCAAATTTAAAATTTGAAATACAAAATAACAGTTCAGTGATACATTGGTAGCAGCAAATGAACTATTTATATGAGAAATTATATCAATTATAAATTATGCATCATGTCCTAATCTGACACTATTGGTATGTATATGTAAATGGTAACCTTATATCTATGGAGAAATTCTCAGCAATTTTTGAAGAAAAAAAAATTTCTAACAGGTGAAATATAGATGTATTATATTTTGATTTTTTAGGCGATCAAGTCAACAGATTTATAATGTCACCATATTCTTCCTCTTCTTTATGTCTTTATATGGTATTCTGGGAGTACAGTTTTTTGGTGAAATGCAACATCATTGTGTTAAGAATGGTACTGATCTCAAGTAAGTCATTCATACTGTTATTATTTCATGATTATAATAATTTGAAACTATTTCTCCATTGATAATGATAATGATATTATCGTCAAATCTTTGTCAAAATGTTTTTCTGTAGCTGCATTTAGGGTTAATCTCTTCAAAGTAAGGTAGAGTTATTACAATTTCATTTCAAACTGTCCATGTTATTGGTTGGAAAGAAAGCATCTTCTTGAATCATATTAAAGGACCTCATGGAAACCTAAACCAGTCACTATGGGCTGTTGTCTGTCATTGATTTCTAACTATTGGCCAGTGTCTGAAGTCATGTCTTTTGGAACACTTATGATGCCTTTATTGAATTAATAGGCTATTTTACACCAGGTTCAAGAAGTTCTAGTGATATAAACAGCAATGGCTCTAAATAATAACAAATTCCAATTCTCAGAAGTCAGATCAGTCTATTGAGTCTGTTTTGAGAAGTTTTCGAAGACCACCTCTTTGAATAGAAACAATTCTCAAAATGCCTGCCTATTTACTTTAGTAAAACTCTGTTATGAGAACCGTTCTGAGAATGGATGACATTTGTGAAATGAAGTGGTTCATGATTAAGTGTTTTGTTATAGGAATGTGACTGTTTGGGATCTAGCTGTACCAGATACCTACTGTTCTCCAGATCCTAGTTTTGGTTATCAATGTAAGAATGGCATGGTTTGTGAATACCTAGATTTACCTAAAGAAATTATGGGATTTAATGGTTTTGATATGTTCAGTAAGTAGAATCAGAGATATTGAGGTCAAAGACTGAATGAAAAAAAAAAAAATTTGCCAAATGTTTCTAGCACTGGAATTACTTAAGCTGTAGTGCAATTTGAGTTAAAATGAAATACAGGTGGGTCTGGGTGGATACAGTATACATAATTGAAAAAAAAGGATTTTCAACAGTTTGGTTGTCTGCTTCAAAAGTGAGTTATTTGCCTCCATTATGCTACAGCCTTGATAACATAAAACATGAGACCTCCATTGAAGAGGTGTTGCTGAAACATATCAATAACAGGAGCAATCATCAATTCTGTTGTATAAAAGAAACTTAATTAATGATCTATATTTCAGCTACCAGCATATTTACTGTCTATCAAGCTGCCTCTCAAGAAGGTTGGGTTTTTTTAATGTACAGATCAATAGATAGTTTACCAGCATGGAAATGTTTTCTCTATTTTATATCCTTAATTTTCTTCCTGGCCTGGCTTGTCAAGGTGAGTTTCTTTCTTACCATTTTGAAGAAACATTCAGGTTTATGATGGTGTGAGATCAAGTTCTAAGATTCGCTTGCTTTTCAGACAACTGATTTGATAACACAAGTTCTTAATCAGTGACGTTTCCAGAAAAGAGGCTGACCGGCTTTTCCCTCCCCACCCTCCCTCCAAAATCTTCATCAATTTAAGATTAGCCTGTGGCCCCCTGGAAAATTTTTCGGCCCCTGTAAAGCCCCCTTAACCTAGTTTACACTGTTCTTGATATACTTAGCTAATGTGAACTGATATCCGCCATCTAATTAAAGACTAAATTCTACAGTGGCTAGGCTGCATCTAAATTAAATGAAAGACCTCTTTTCAATGTTTGACATTGTACAAAGTTTTTGATAGTAAATATGATAATGATGTATGTGATGATTTAATTGTAGAATGTCTTTATTGCTGTTATTATTGAAACCTTTGCTGAAATTAGAGTTCAGTTTCAACAGATGTGGGGATCAAGAGGTAGTGCTGCTCAATCAGATTCTTCACAGGTAGGACAATAGCTATTCTGACATGATAGATTTGCAATTTTACTTTTAGAGTATAATGCTATCTCAGTAAGACTTGAGCCTTGAAAATGATTGCCTCATAATGAAACTAATTGTGCTTAAATCGTATACTGTATAATTGCGAATATAATGCGCACCACTTCTTACTATCCAGTAATTTTGAAAAATCTTCGAACAGCTTTACATGAACAGATTCACTCATTAAACTTTTTGGTATACAAGTAATTTGATTCCAAGGTAAGAAGGTGAAGTTTTTCTTAAAGTAAGTAGTGTAAAATTGTAAAAATAATGCGCACCCCCGCTTATCATCCAGTATTCTCTTAAACGTGTTCTTACAGGTAAAATGTTTTGATATCTTTGATTGTAGGTGATTCAATCAGATGGTGAATCATGGAAGTTAGTTATAATGGATGAAAATAAAACTAAAGGTCTGGCACCAGATGCTCTGACAGCCCTGGTCAAATCTAATCTGTTTCATACTTTAATATTAATACTAGTATTAGCTGCTGCTATAACAGAAGCCAGTCTTCATTTTGATCATAAAACTAAAAATCCTAAAGACACCCTTGATAATTTCTATTATTCAGAGGTAAGTATGGTTTTATGAATTTCTGTTTACTTAGAGAAAGTGTTGGTTCAACAAGCACTAGATAAAGCATTGGTTAGTATCTAAGTGTTTTCTAGGGTAATGCCATTATCCACATTTTCGGGGCAACTATTTGGTGGTGCTTAAAGTTTGCTCATGCATGCTTTGAAGATCTTGGATGAGTTCAACTTTCAAAATATTTCACCAAGTGGTTATTGCCCTTGTTATAGGTATAATGGATTGAAATCTATATATTGTACCTGTGAAATTTATCCCTCAGGAAGAACTGGTAAAGTACAAGTAGTGAATTGTATATTTAATATATTGTAGGTGATATTTACAGTATTATTTGATCTAGAAGCTGTATTAAAGGTCTGGTGTTTAGGTTTATCTGGGTATTTAAAGAGATCATTACATAAGTTTGAATTAGTATTAGCTATAGGAACTACACTTCATGTTATACCAGGTTGTTATAGGTCACCTTTAACTTACTTCCAGGTAGGATATCATATAACATTAACTTTTTATTTGGCGGGGAAAATTTTCAGCGGGTAAAGGTATTCCTATGGGTACTAATTGCACTATTAAAAAAAAAAAAGGTTTTAATGATAAATTTAAGACATATAGTAAGAACTGTTTTCACTAGGATGATGAAGATCAGCTGGTCCTTGGCCAAATCTTCTTGGGGAATGATATCTGCTGGATTATCTGTACCCATTAACAGCTGGGTAAACTGGAATAATGAGAAAAGATGACTTATTCAAGGTCACCAGACTTTCATATTAGAACCCATGACTACCAAACCAATGGAGTCATTCCAACGATCTATCTGACTTGTCTACAAGTTTCTTCTCAAATAAGACATTTCTAATTTAATATTTGTAGGTTTTACGAGTAGTAAGGTTAATCAAAGCATCACCAATGTTAGAGGATTTCTGTTTTAAGGTTTGTTTATTGTTAAAACCTTTATGATATATATGGAATATCAATTTATCAGTTCAAAAAAATAATAATTTGTCTAGTTATAAGTAACTTTCACCTGACGATGATGACAATGTAAATTGTGTAAAGACGTTGTTTATAATAAAACTAAGGAACAATATACCATAAACTTTTGTTCTATTATTTAATATCAACTCTTTTTCTAAATGGCGCCAAAGGATTATTAAGATTATAAATGATAAGATTAGTTGTATTTGACTATTGTAGATATTTGGACCAGGTAGAAAGTTAGGAAGTTTGGTATTATTTACTATGTGTTTATTAATCATAGCCTCCAGTATCTCTCTACAACTCTTCTGTTTTATCACAGACTTTGAAAAATTTGAGACTTTCCCACAGGTAAGTTATATTGTCTCTCTTTTTATCATTATTTTCTCAAATTTAAATTTCGTGAATTTTCTTTTGTACAGTGCACTCATTAGGATGAGGAAATTCTGGCCAAATTCTCGAAACAATCTTAGAGCTAGGATGTCCTAGAATCAATGTTAAATGATAAACACCTAGGACATCCTAGCTCTAAGATCGTTTCGAGAATAGGTGGCCTGGATTTTGGCATTGCAGTGCAGGACAGTAAATATTTATTGAGTGCTTTCTTTCATGACTATTTATGGAATTGTATTGTATCCCTTTAAGAAAATGCAGATGATTGGGATATTAAATTTAGCTCCTACTATGTAGATGGCTTCTTTTTGAGAAAATAAATACTGATAGAAACTGTTGGGCTATATTGTGCAGATTGAAAGAATTGGATATTAGTAATCTTATTAATTCTATCTTGTATTTAGTACAGAAGAAATTAAATGTTATATAGTTAATTTTTTTTTCTGTAAAGTAGGACTCAATACTAATTGTTTTATTGTAATTATAATTTCAATTTTTCATTTCATACAATGATTGTAAATTTTTTGTAGTTAAATTTTTGTTTTATATATTATTTTTTGCTATTTCCATGGCAACAGGCTTTACAGTGTATGTTTCAAATCCTAGTACAAGAGGGTTGGACGAATATATTAGACGATATAATGGATTCAGTTCCCTCCCCTGTCCTAGCATTTATCATAGCAGGCTATTTTTATCTTTACCATCTGTTTGCTACCTTGGTGAGTAACCATGGAAACGAATAGCATGGTAACTCGGGTTGCTAAGATACTAATGTGTGGATGGGAGTAGTTTTTAATAGTAGAAACTAACCTTTTCAGTTTTGATGTGTTTTTGGTTTATATTTGCTCTCTAACAATGCTCTTAGTTTTTTAAATCTAACATTAATGTGAATTAGCACATCATCTTTCAAGTATTAAATTTTTCTGAAAGAAAGAGGTGTTGATTTGGTCATCTTGGCATGATTTTATTTTTTTTGATAGAATTTACTTACTTTGATTGACTGAATATGAACTTGTTTTGATTTGAAAACAAGGTCGGAATTTCACCATGAAAAATATTGAGTTTACAAAGAGTCTACCATCAGTGTTAAACAGCTGCTCAGCTTTCAAAACTTTTGTCACAAAACCTTTGGTCTTTCCATCAGTTACCTCATATTACACGACTCGTGGAAAACAAGAAAATGCAACAATGAACCCATGGCAGGCGTGTTATAAACTGGATTGCGTTATGAAGTCATAAAGCTGACTGCAGAAGAGCAGAACGTAAAACTCCATTCATTTCATTTAAAGTTGTTCTGTTTGGGCAATGATGTAAAAAACGAGTTGATATTCAGTCAATGAATAACATTTCTCATTTTCATCCTCTCATTTGATTCTATTTTGATATTCTTCTCTCTTCTCTGACAGGCCTTTATGTCCATGTTTCAAATTTTGACTCAGAAAGGTTGGATTGATGTCATGCATATAACAATGTGGAAAACAGGAAAAGTGGCAACACTTGCTGCTATTTATTTTATTTTCTACCATCTTTGTGTGACTTTGGTGAGTAAACATTCACACAAATATCATCGGCACTAGTCATCTATGTTGTATTTTCAGTTGCCATAGTAACATATTTTGTCAGTAAAACTCAACTACAGTCTGCTTTTATTTTCTCAATGTGTGAAAGATATTGATCAATGACAGAATTGGTTGTAACATAGCCAAAGACTTTTTCAAAATTTGCTTGTCATTTGGCATAAATACTCTATAGAAATGATTGTTAGGTTCCAGAGTCTGGTTTCACATAGAATATTAAAATTACTTTGTATTCCACACAAAATTCCTATGAAAAGATTATTTGAGGTACTGTGCCCTGATGATTTGACTAAAGCCAACACACATGATGGTTGTATATGAAGGAAGGAAGACAGAGATAAATAAGCCTTCAGAAATAAAGGCATTGGTGAAAGAATGAAGGAGACATTATAGAATTGGGTGTAATATTTTGAAAAATGATGCGAGAAATGTGTAAAAGAATGGTTGATTGATTGAAGAAATTGTTTGATATTACAAATCTTTGTACATTTTCAATTTGTGAGAAAATAAAAGCAGATTGGTTTAGACAGCTACAAAATATGTCATGATAGATTGGCCTATATATATATATATATAAGAGTAGAATTGTAATACATGCCGTTTTATTTTAGATATAATTAAATTAATCAAGTGTAAGTTTTAAGTTCCTTTTCATTTTGTTTCATCACCGATTATTTATATTAGTCACATTAATATGCTTTTATTAACCCCTCGCTCCCCATTTTTTTTTTACGAAAAACCCTTTATTGGATTAAGAATTGAGTTAATTGAAAAACAAATAAATTTATTCTTTATATGATAAAAATTTCATCACAAATTTGTAATCTCAAAAAGGTCTTAAAATCATAAAAAAAAAAAATGTTTGATAATGAGAAGACATTACTTTTGATAATATTTCATATTTTGGATTAACTGCGGAACAAAATATAAGAATTGGCTATCTTCCTTACCGTGCATTATGATGTACAGAAAATATTCATCAAATCACCTTTGCTTTGAAGCATACTGATAATGAATATGATAAACAAAATATAAATTTATAATATGTAATAATATAACCAAGCATTTTGTTCTTATAATTTTCTTACTGCACTTTCTATTTTGCTTATTTTCTTGGTTTATGACTTCTTTTGATTCACTTTCTATATTCAAGCATGCCCTTTTCTTCATTTTTATGCATTTTAATTTTACGATTATTTAGAACAAACATATTCATTACTTGATATGATTAATTGAATTATATGGTATATAACTATATAGTAGGTGGTATTACTAAACTGTGTAATCATTATATACTCAAGATAGACAATGCATATATGAAATCATCATAATAGTATTTTATTTAAAATGGGGAAAGTCACATATAAAGGCTAATTTAAACTTGCTATGTGCTTTAATGAGCAAAGAGAAACAAATTATACAGATATTACCAAATGTTGAATTTCATTAGTTTCTTGTATCAATATCCAGAGGCCCACAATTTCTTTAAACTGATATATGACAAGATTTAAATGCTTATCAGTTCTCAAATTGAAATGTCATAGAGGGGACCTTATTGTGGTTACATATTGAAGGTATTTGTATGGTTATAAGCAGGATATGCTGTACATTATGAATATATTATGATATGTGTATAATATTATAAATGATGATTGTAGATTGTTATCAGTTTATTCGTTGCTGTTATTCTGGATAATTTAGAAATGGATGAAGATATTAAAAAACTCAAACAGGTGTGTGCGATATTCTTACAAATAGTTCTGGAATTTAGTTAGTTGTTTCACAATTTTCAAGTAAGCTACTATTTTCGGTATAGCGATTAATGGAAATGTAATTTTTAAAGTGGCAATTTTTATTCTATGGTTTTCAGCTGAAAGCTCGAGAACAAAGTGCTGATACCAAAGATATGTTACCATTAAGACTGAGAATATTTTCTACTTTCTCGTAAGTATTTAGTCTTTATTCAACTCGGATATAACATGGTTTAGTATGTTTTATAACATACAAATGATACAAAAGATCATGACATATAGAAGTTACTTGCTGTGATTGAAGGGTGGAGCTATTAGCATAACGAACTGTGGTCAATAAACTTTTTCTTTTTTTGCCTTAAAATCCATTTAAAAATGTCTTTACTTCAAAGATCAAAGATATATATGATATAGCCACATAATGTTATTTTTGCCTTTCATTGCATTACATATTCAGCAACCCAGGGATATAAGCTGGACCATATTATGCTTTTTTTTGTCTATTTATTTGTAGAAATCATCCCCAGATGGTAAAAGTCAATAAGATGACCAGTGAGTTTAATATATCAGATATCAGAGAGAGTTTTATGAGACAGTTTATGGAGCTAGAGTTAAACCTGGTGGTTGATACACAAGACAGTCAGGACAGTGAACCTCCCTGTATTAAAACGTCTAATTTACCTCTAGTTAAAAATACAACACATGAAGTTAGAAGTGGAGGTGTTATTGAGAAGAAGAGTGGTATAACAGGTATTGTCAGGTTAGTTAATGTTAAAGTATATATTTATCAAGCTTATTTTCTATTTTCGGCGGATAAGTTTGGCTTTTACTTGTACTTGACAGTTGTAAATGGAAACGACTAAATGTGAAATGGCAATTCTAGCTTACATCGTTGATGGTATCAGAAGTATAAATCCAGCTTTAGACATGTAGACACTTGTAACAATGACTATATGATATATTTGTAGAGATTCAAATCAACAGAAAGGAGGAAGTGGAGGATCAGCTCAGATGGTAGCAGCTGGTCCTAAAGCTTTATCTTTACTGGGACAACAACATAATATCAGGATGGAAAGAAGGTAAAGAACCTGTGTCTAGCACACTGTGAAAAGTTTGATTTAACTAATCTAGATAGATTTCATGTTAATGACAAGGTCAAATACCACGCTATTGTGGATTTTGGTATCAAATAGAGAAAAGATTACTTCTAAATCTAAAGCTATCAAAACAATTTTCATGCATAGGGTTTATGATTGGCAAATTGATCTTTGTGTTTAAGTAATGCTTGTGTGATTTTGTGTTTAATTATTCTGGCAACTATTGTTGTTATTTGAAGGTCAATGAGAGGATCAAGACCAGGTAGTATCAAGATTAAATCATATCCTACTCTGAAAGAAAATGGTGATGTTATGGGACTACAGACTGCCACTATGGTTGGAAGGAGAGCTGAAGATTTTGATATCAAAGTTTGGCAACAGAAAAAACAACAAGCTGAGATTAAAAGGTAGCCTACCTAAAAATTGGTTAAAAATATTAAATATAACGACCTTTTTCTCAAAAACTTGACTAAGATAAAAAACAAAAAAAAAACAAATCAGAAATTCAGTGATTTGATTGCAAAATTCTGATCAATATTAAACCTATTTTAGTTATTTTCCAATTGGCTGACACCAACGCCAAATGACGTGAAGTTAAGTTTTGGAGAAGAATGCCCCTAATCTTTAAGGCAGTTAGACCAATCTGTTATGAAATCAGTTGCCAAATAAAAAAAAAATATTTCATTTTATGATAAGAAAATTTGTGTTTTTTTTGTGTGTTTTTTTAACAACATCTACAACCTCTGAACCTGTATATTTCCAGAAACCAGATTGTAGAAGATCTACGAGAGAACCATCCATATTTTGACATGCCATTATTTTTTATTGGTCGTGAATCAAAGCTTCGAAAAATATGTCAGTTAATCGTCGATGCTAAATATCATTATAAAAGACAAGATGCTGTGATGGGTAAAAGTAAAAATAAATTTAAAACATTACAGTAAGTAGCTCTTGATTTTACAAAAAATTTATATTTTACATTATTTAAATCATGTATTGATTTAGATTAAAGTAAAATCTGTTAGAATTTATTCATTGATTGTAATGTTTATTTTGATATATTCAGATTTATAAACATTGATCATATTCTCTAGTAAACTGTTAGGTCTAGTAAACTATACTATGTATATTCTTTAGTAAACTGTAGGTCTAGTAAACTATATTATGTATATTTTCAGTAAACTGTTAGGTCTAGTAAACTATATTAGGTATATTTTCAGTAAACTGTAGGTCTAGTAAACTATATTATGTATATTTTCAGTAAACTGTTAGGTCTAGGAAACTATATTTTGTATATTTTCAGTAAACTG